TTATTAACGTTAAATATTTCCCCAAGGTTGGCAGGTCTGTGTCAAGTTAACTCAATTCACAATTTCAACATCAACCCCAGCCTGTTTACCTAAATTCTGCATTTTATTCATTTTCATTCATGCATTTGTAACCCTACAGATATACATGTTTACCTGTAAAGTTAATGGTAATGGTAAATGTAGTCCCAATTGACAATGTACAGGAAAAGTCGGCATTAGCTCACAATTCCTATATCTCTGATGTTTTTATCTACATTTAATGTTAAATATAAATTAAGATAAATATCTGTCAAGTTCTGGAGTCTTGTTGACTTTGAAAGCTTTCTTCAGATGGAGAGAGAGACACAGAGGACTGAGACGGCACTTTCTAACCTTCACCTGAAACAATTAAATGAGAAAGCAGGTACTCTAACTCGAGTGCTTCATTTCCTTCTGCTTTTAATTAATAAAAAAAAATCTATCTGAACATGAGGAGCAGAGAGCAGACAGGGTTATGTAATTAATCTAGGGATGTGTGAGCGCACACCTGAGAGTGCACAGCTGCAGGCAGGAATGATATAACTGCCCACGATAACACTAGTGCAATTTCATGCATGAGGGTATTTTCAAAAATACCATCTTATCATGTTGTAAGCAGTCATTTGTGAGAGAGACTAATTTGAATCAGACTGGATTTAGTAAGTACTGCCATTATGAATATTTGGAATGCCCATTTTAATTACTTAGGCTTTATTTTTCCATCTTCCATTTTCATCAAGAACCAAAGACTGTATTCTTACCCATAAATAGATACATAAATGAACCAGTTGTCAAATGTGCCTCTGCTATAATCATGGAAATCATTAATGTATGATTTTTTATGTAAACTGCCTAGAAAAGATCCCATCTCCCATTCCAGTGTAGGTCAGGTCAATATAAAGACTCATCAACTTAACGTACATAAGTGTACGTGCGAATACTACGTATTTAAATAAATGAGAATTCAAGATTTATATAACTTAGCAGGGCTGGCCCAAAAAAGCATTTCACAGGCATTAAACACTTGCATTTAAGAACGAGCAGTTGTTTTTATATATATTTGTTCTCAATACTATCATTAAAAACCTAATGATATATACATTTCATAATTAACCACAATGTTAAGTCTGTTCATTAGTTTTTGATTTATAACAAACAGTTTTATACATTTCTACATCCTTTTTACGATGGACATCGCAAAGAGGCCGGTATATTAGTTCAATTCCCTCGTAAGTGAAATAACTTCAGTAGTCAAACATATATCTTGCTCAGGATTGTTGACTAGGTGAGTTACTTCAGTGTTTTATACTAAATTCTTATAGATTTACAGGAGATCATATATTTTAGGAGTCAGCTAATCCATTCAGATAGCCTGGTGTCTTTGTCTTGGTCTCAACATTGCAGTGGCTAAACAGCAAATAAAAGAAAATGAAGCGCAGCTCAGTTGAAGACGCACTTGTATATTGTCACATTCACTTTGGCTATGAAACTGTAATTAATTTAGTTCAAAAGAACCGAACTGTGAATGTCACACGTACCGACTCTGTCTGAGAGCTTGTGGTCACTTAGCTTAGCCCTTTGCCTTCTTCTCTGAAGCCATTTTGCCTGAGGCGGTTTGAAACGACTGGTCTCGCCTGATGAACGAGAGCTGAGACGCGTTTTTCCCCATGACCGAAGTCATTTTTCAGCCTAAAAACAAGCATGACATCTGCTTGCAGCACAGAGTGTGGTTTACCAGTGCAGTGATTCTGTAGAACAATCTCATCTATGTTTTGTACAATAAATTTGAAAGGATATCACACCACCCAACATTTAAAAGTTTTACAGTAAGGTGCATCCAGTAAGCATATCTTCCTTTCTATTTCTTTTTCAACTGAAAATTGAAAGGTGTATAAGGTGAAAATAAATATACACTTGTCAAAAAATGGGCCAAGCCCAAATCGGCAAAGCATTAAAATTTTAATGGTCTTAACAACAAATCATTAAATAAACAGGCTAGATAAAGTAACAGCATTTTCCCTATTTTTCCCTTTGATTTCTTAAAATGTTAAAGTCTTGTGGATAAACTTGCAGACAAGCTTTTACATAAAATTTTCAATATTTTTCCACGCAGCATTGATGGCTTCAAACAGTTGAAAAACACAGCCAAGTGTGGACTCTGGACTCTGACCAGTCCAAATCCATCATTAAAACCATTTTATTTTGGGCTTGGCCATTTATTTTGCACATCTATGTATACTATGCTGGAATGTATTACCATGATAACTATCACCTTTCAACTTTGACCACAAATTACAATTTCTTTGTAATATAACAGACCCGTTTCACTATATAGATCATAGTATGTACAACAGATTGACCAAATCACACTGTAGTCATTAGGACAGTTGTGTCAGTCATTAATACAGTCAGTGTATAACCCTAGTAGCAACATGTAGAAAGCTTAAGTATAAAGTTATGTTTCCTGGTCATGTGGAAACGCAAATGAGTATATTTCATTTCCATTTCTCAGTTACTGTCATATTGAATGGCTTAAGCTCTATCAGGTATCTATAACTTATCACTGAATTAGAATTCAGTGGCAAACTATGTAAAATATTATCTAAAAAAACCATGCATGTTTTTTTTTTGCTTTTAAGATTATAAACATTGTGGTTTAGCCTAATTACTGTCAAGATATTTTCTATAATGATGGCTGATAAGCCACTGGTCTAGGTAGCATGAGCTGGGAGAAGACGTGAGATGTTCTTCTGCTAGCACATCTGCTCCACGCTGCTTAGCAACCGTGACAAAGCTCCATAGATTTCCATTCAGCCTATTGTTCCTCACACTGCAGCGTCCAGAGCAGTCATTACTCATCTCTGCTTATTTGCCTTTAACAAGTTCAATTATGAAATTCAAGCGAAACCAGACCTTCTACAACACATCCTTTACAATACACCTTTTGAAAAGGTGTGGAAGTCAAAGTGAGCAGGAAATCATAATGTATAATCCTTCTGTGTTGTGACTCATACCTGCGTAAAACATTATTCTTGGTTAATATTTTTTTCTGCCTGCTGGTACGCAGTGACATAATCTAAAATCTGAAGTCTTAGAGTCATTACATTTTGATAGAAGATGACAGGGAACCAAGAAGAAAACATGACACAGTGAACTGTGCTTAATATTAACAAGGCCAGCAGTGTCGGCTGCACTGGAAGTATATTAAACAACAAAAACAGTGTCTGAATACTTGTTTCCCTTTCACTGTATGTAGAACCATTTTATTAGGCCCTTTAAGAACCAATTATTACAAGAAAAGAACCACTTTTCTTTGCAAAGAACCATTCAAAGTTAACCTGAAATCAAAATGGACCTTCCAATGGTTTTTTAATATACCTCCAGGGCTGCCAGTACTCAGATGCAGCCCGTCAGGTCTGGAGAAAGAAGAACCTGATCCCAAGAGCACCAAACCCACAGTGACCGTGATGTGGAGCTGCATCTCTGCAAACACTACTGGAGCATTACACGTCACTGAAGGAAACATGAATGGAGCGATGAACTGGGAGATAATAGAGGAAAACAATCTCATCAGCCAAGAAACTGAATCTGGGGAGAAGACTGTCGTTTCAATAAGACAACGACCTCAAACATACGGCCAAAATAACTCAAGACCGGATTTTAAATAAGACCGTGAAGGTGTTTGCATGGCCTAGCTAATCTCCTCAATCCTTTGAAGATTTATGGAGGATTTTGAAATTCCAAGTCCATCAGAGGCGCCCTCGTAACCTCACAGCCAAGAGGAATGGGCTAAAACTGAACCACAATGCCGTAAAAAGTTAATTTACTTCTGACAGCAAATGTCTTGAAGCTGTAATTGCCAACAGCGGCTTTGCAACAAAGTAGTAACATACCAAAACTGACTGATTTATGGTGTCTGAACACTTTTTCCCCTCTATATCTATTTCGTTGTAAGTTTGAAGTGGATATATGCACTGGACGTGTATTAAATAACAAAAAAAAAGTGTTTGAATAATTGTTTTTCCTCACTGTAGCACCAAAGAGGGATCCACAAGACAAAAAAACTTTTCTGGTACTATACAGAACCTTGCTAAGTGTATAGCGCAATCACAATTTTCCTCACAGGCATATCTGATTTTGGTATGACTCAGAATTATTTGAACTGTAGAAATTATTGGGAATTTTTCATACTGTTTACATACCACATCAAACTAATTTTAGAAAAAAAGGGATACATTTTTGGTTGTCCTTTTAACCCTCTTGCACACATTATGAGAGCAATTAAAAAATTAAATTCACTTTTCTTGCATAAAATGGTCCTTGATTTATTTTTTCAGACCCGATTATTAAATTCAAAAACATTTGAAAGAAATAACGTGTGCAGGGATCCTTTTAGATTTTGTTGCCTTGAAGCAACATTGTGCAACAGTGGTAAGAAATAACAGAGCCACATTCCCTGAAGTGGGGATACCTGGCTTATGACTGGCTAAATCCATTCCACTGTCGCACAATGTTGCTTCTAGGCAACAGACGTATTTCTGCAAATTCGCATAACAAAAAAATTGATACTGAATGTTGAAAAAAGGGGTTTAAATGTGCCCACTATAAGATAGTATTACCAAGTACACGCCTTTTATTGACTTACTCAAACTCTTCCCTTTATTGTTAACCCTGTCGTTGCCTTAAAATATGCATAATGTTATTGTAAAGTGAGGAAAATGAGTTTGTTGCCCTGAGGCAACATTGTGCAATGCTACTTTGCACAGTATTGGAACATAGACAAACCTAGCATTTCATCTTGGCCAAAAATGAGGCATACTTTACTGTATATTACGGCAAGTTGAAGCATTTGAATTCTAAACGTATAATGTCTATTGCTATATATACTATTTATAGTTTGTGCAGGGGATGCACTTTAAACTCTACGCATAGGAGAACCACATTCACGAGGAGATGCACATGCACACCCAACAAATATTTACCTTCAACTGATGGAGCCTGGTCCTGGGCGGAGTACAGCATCTCTTTGAAAGCCTGCAGGAGAGAAAAGAGACATGAGACATGCTTTCCAGTGGTCCGACAATCAGCGTTCACATTACACAGCAGCATGTGGCTGGCCTGCTGCCATTTCTGACCGACACAGGAACTAGGATGGAAATAATTTGTGGAGAGGAGAGGAGAGGAGGAACTGTCCAAAAGCAGAGAGGAAATGGCAGATAATAATGGTGCTTCACGCTTCCATTTGACAGCATCTATTTTTGCATCCTGGGACACAACGGCTGTGTTCTTCCCCCCAATCCCCACCAAAATAACACCATTAAACCAGGCAAACAGAAGAGCCGGAGTGACACATTTTGCACACTACTCATTTCACGGCACTCTGCAGAAAAAAAGGCCACAGTTTACTTACTGTGCTTCGTTATACTCAGTGTGAACATCTGAGATGAGTCAGTTCACCGCAGAAACTCCTCACACTTGTTAAAAACATTTATGATCAACTCTGCAATAACTGTGAAAGGGAAATCTGCTATCTCTGTTTACAGAGCTGCACCGGCTTTATTAATTCACACCAGGTGAATGTGCAGTTAATTGGAAAGAGGGACAAGCATGCAGTGCACACCAGCTATGGTAACTACAATGTGCACACTAATCAACCTCGTCCTCATCTGGTGGCTTTTCATCCTTTATCCTTCTATCCTAACATATTTTTATATTACTGCTGGTCTGCCATGACCAACGCCTATTCCAGGCGTTTTCAAAGATAACTGTTGAACACAGCATTTTAGCCACAGTGCTAATGTTCTTATGTGCACATTGTAGGGATTTAACAATACAACATATATTGTATTGTATGGCAATACAACTTTGTATTGTATGGCAGCGCAATATTAATAATAATAAATACAACAATACAATATTGTATGGCAGCGTAACATATTGTTATATCACGACTAGCATGTTAGCTTGCGGCCAGAGTGTTAGACTGGAGCACTATAAAGCACAGCTTTTGTTTAAAATATTGCTGTTTGGTAACGCTGAATGCTCTAATAAAGTGAAAACGCAAATGTTAACATAACACATGGGGGGGGAGGTCGGGCCATCCTACCCATCAATCGAGGGGGACAATTATGCGCTCCTGGTCTCCTGCTAATGCTGCCTTAGGTTTGAGGCTCTCAACGACACCGTACGTAAAGGGGTATGTTGTCTTGTCAAGATAAATAAAATTTTTGCTTTTTTTTTAAATATTAACTGAACATTTGTTCATTTTTATTAAAAATGTAATGTATTGAAAATGCATACATTCATTATTCACCAGATTCCACAGATGTGACCAGCATATTGTTACTATACCAATATATATATATATATATATATATATATATATATATATATATATATATGTGTAAAAGTAAAGGAAGAAAAAAAACATTTACTTTTTCTGTAAGTCAACTTAAAACGATGCATTCCAAGCAATTTTTGAAAATTTTTCTTGATCCATTCATCACACAATAACCATACAATGTAAAAGGGCAGCTGGTCAAATGATGTTAAAAAAAAAAAAAAAAAACTGGGGTTTTTTTGGACAGTAACAATATGTTGTACCAAAAGGCCCCTGTGCATGAATTATAAACAGACAGTGGGCATGACCTAAACCACAGCGGGTATGTTTACTTACAGTAACTAATCAAGAAGTGCTGACATTTATGACATGCATAGGGAAGGTAATTTAAACAGTCTAGACTTTAGAACAAGCATGTCTTTCTGCTCATGGTCACTAAGGTATTGAAACTTGGAGCTGAATGACTTAATGAACGAATGTTTTAATACTTGGTAGTATTGTAGTAATTCAACTGGTACCATAAACGTACTGAATTTCAATGCCCAGCCCTGCAATTGTGGACTACTGTCACGGCAGTAACACCGCAAATACTGAATAATATGCAATGCTGGTCTTTCAGGATTCACGTGTCTTTTTTCACCACTGTTATCAGGTAGAAAACCGGAAATGAATCTCCTGAATGGCTGCGAGTTTTCAGTTATATGTATCTACTTATCTAACTAAACCTCGCTCAGAGACAACGTGCTGATTCGACTCTATCAACTCGTGCCTGCACTTCTTGTTTTTCCTCACTGTGTCTTCTGCAGTAGAGCCGGGCTCCTTGCAGGATACTAGGTCAAAGGTCACACTGCGCTGTAGGGAGGAACTGAGAGGTGGAAGAACGGTAACATCTTAGCCTGGTTATCCGAAATCAATGACCGCATCAATACCCTGCCGGCCCTCAATCGGTCACAATCCTCATTAGCTCTTGCGCTAACAAATATTGACGTGATGAGGGAGGGACAGAGGGAGAGAGACAGAGACAAAGAGAAAAACATGGTCAGCTGAAAGGCCAGTGAAAACACCATCACCATCGCCTTCACAAGGACCAAGAACGCTCTAAACAACTCCTGAATGTGAGACCGGGCTGAAAAAATGAGAAACATGAGGGCAAAAGCCACAAACAACAACAAGAAAAACCTCCATTCCCGTATTTTGTTGACCTTCACTGCACTCATAACTGAGGTGTCACTTTACGTTGTTCCAAAACCACCCAGGAGAACGAGAGGAAAAAACAAAGTCTGACAGTGTTCTCACCAAAAGCCTGGCGTCAGCATAAACCAAGTCTCTGAAGACCACAGTATAGACCTTTAAGGCCAACTGCAAGCAAGTCTCATATATGAGGTAGCAGGTATGGTCATTTTCTGCTACTAAAAGATCTGCATTTGTAAACAAACAGTATTCAACTGTATCCCAATAAGCCTTTGTTTATATCACACATACAACATTCATAATGAACGCTTAATTAGTCATTTATCTTTTTGTTTTGGGTGTATTTGATTCATACACAATGTCAACAAGAGTTACAGTACTGTGCAAAAGTCAGAGACCACCCTTCATTGAAGTTATTCATTTTTCTGTATCAAGAAAACAGATATTGTATTTAACAGAGCTCTCGACAAATAAACTGGGAGACTTGCTCTCAGTTTTTCCAAGAAATTTGCACCTTTAAAGTTGCACTTTCAGCTTCTCATGATCCAAGTAACCCCAAATACATTTAGTGATGTTGAGGTCTGGACTCTGGGGTGGTCAGCCCATTGTTTTGGGAACACCAACAGCTTCTTTCTTTGACCATTTTTGTCTATTTCCTTTTCTAAGTAGCCACGTTTACATGCAGCCCGATAATCCGTTAATAATCCGACTAATAACTCACTCGGAATAGAATACATTGACGTAAACACCTCAATCTGAATAGACTAGTCAAATTGAGGCCATTCGGAATACAATTTTTATCCGATTGAACGAGGTGGGTAATCCTGTAAATAATCCGTTAAATAGAAGAATAATAGCCATGCAAATGCCTGTATCTGATTACATTCCCAGTCAGAAAGTTTAAGGACGTTCTGCATGTTCGTCGCATCATAGTGAAAGTTTATACCGAGACGAAGTTTATGCTCTGATCTTTAAAAGACGGCGGTGGGACGGACGTCCAGCTTATGTGCCTCAGAACACGACGTCTTCCTCTCGGCCTTCTTTAATAAGGACATGTTAAGCAAGTTTTCCTGAGTCTGACATCATTTTAAAGTAATTAAAAACACAAGCGCTGCTCACTGCTACTCATCTCACTCTGACTGGACTCACGTGATGCTTGTTGTCATGGTAACGTCTACACTAAGTTGTTCTCTACGCACGTGCGTGATTTTGATTTAGAATACTTGTAGTGTGCATGGAAATGAACTTTTTCCATCAGATTGTTGAGTAGAGTGAGATATAAACACCTCAGTCTTAATCTATCATTGGAATGTATTCAATCGGCTTGGAAAAAATCTCCGCATGTAAACACAGCAAGTGAGGGCTTCTTGACAGCTACACCTCCTTTCAACTCTGACTGTACAGTACTGTACACTGTTTGAAATGTTACCATATACAGCTCAAAGTCATTGTGCCAAACCTCTTCTTAATGAAACATGCAGGGGTTGGTGTAGCGTAGTGGATAATACCGCTGCCCTCCATGCAGCAAACTGGAATTCAATGCCCTGCAGGGTCAAGCACACCACACTACATCAATGAGAGTCCTTGGGCAAGACTCCTAACACTATATGTATCTACCCCTGTAACACGATTAAAACTAAGTCGCTCTGAATAGGAATGTCTAGCAAATGCATAAATGTAAATGGTCAGTGTTTAAGTACTGACGATACCCATGATATGCCTGAAAAAGCTTATCATGATATATTTAATCATGATAATAATTCCACAGTATCTTATCAGCCACCCCTAATGCTGCAAGGAGTTTGGCAGGGTTCAACAATAACGACTGCCCAAATGCCTGGGGCAGGTAAAATGTGACATCAGGACAGCACGAAAAACCACTTGCCCAGTTGGGCAAGTTCATGTTGGTGGAGGGGGCTGCCATGTAACTGAGGCCAAACTCAATTCACTTGAATATTTAAACCCTCCCCTTATTCATTTGCATGAAACAAAACAATGGTATTGTTGACAAATGACATCAGAGCGAGACATACAGGAAAATCTTGGTAAAGCACAAATACGAAGCAAGGTGAGTCCACAGCTTCATTCCCTCATGGGTCGATTCTGACCCCTCTGTATTTGAGATTGTCTGCAAAATTTGTAGGGAATGTCCTAAGAAGGCAGATAAAATGGGTTGTAACTACAACTTTTAGAAAACAGTCGCTCAAGTGTCACGACAAGTCTCTCACATTGCGTGTAAAGTAGCAAAAAAACCCACTACGACATCTGGACCACTGGACGTGTGCATACGACAGATAAACAGTGAAGCAGATTCCAAGTTGACCATGTTAGTCACAACAGCATATTACACAGTGCTTATTTATATTTAAATAACATTTTAAAATATAAAGACTTGCTTGGGACAGTAGAAATTTGGTTTGGGGCAGTGAACCCTGTTTGGATATCTGTATATTCTAATTACCATGTCCATCCCTAGGAAGTGAAGTTAGGTTCTAGGGAACCAGCCATAGTTCTAGAGAAACTTACTGGTCTGAATTGTTCACAGTGGTGTTAATAGCAACCAGACGTCTGAAGCATTTAAAGCATCTAAAAGCTCCCTCACAGAAAGTTACATGACATGGTAACTAATATCCTTCCTGCTGTCTTTTTGAATACATTCATGGCCGAGAGGTACATGCAGGGCACTGTATGGCAAAATAGTATCGATTACTTTACTTGCTTTCCCAGATGTATCACTATTTTACCACTATCATACAAAACTAATGGTAGATTAACCAGATTTACTACCTTATATCATATTAAAACTCAAATGATTCAAGAAGTCCCACTGGTCATTTTGGATATTAAGAAAAAAATGGCTAAATTTGTGATGTAGTCTTCAAAAGCCCTAGTTCCTGAGTCAGCATAAATCATTCTGAATGTCTTTGTTTACATCTTAATGATTGAATTATGCAAACGCTTTGACAAATCAATGGAATCTCCCTTTAAATTCCAATGGAAACGTGTATGGCTGCCTTCAAGGGGGGGAGGCGTAAAATGCACTGGGTTAACACGAGGTGATTAGATGCCAGCAGGCCCATGCTTAACACAGGTCAGCATTTACTGCTATGGACTTTGCCCTTGTGCCAGGGTGCCCACTTTTTGCCTGGCTTATTTGTGAAAGTTTCAACAAAAAGAAAGAAAGAAGGGCTTCAATCTTGCCCTTGACATACTTGTAGACATGCTACCTCATACATATAGAAGCTACAGAAGGGCGGACTAGTGGACGAACTTGCACAGGTGACCGTCAGAGCTTCTTTTTCCACTCCTCTAAGCACACACGGCATAAATCTGAAACGTACAATATCTCAAACATGGCAACCGCCAGCGGACTTCAGGAGAATTTTCATTTCCCCTGAAAAGAGCTTACATCAGCTTTGTCAAACCCACGAAATCACTAAGCAGAGGCTGTGGCTGCTAAGCACCCCCCACCCTTCTAAGCTCTAAGTTCATAACAAATCTACAGGTTCTGACAATTTCGAACCAAACGCTTCAGCCCCCATTGGTTGAAGCTCAAAACAGCGGGGCTGTAGGACGTCAGGTAAACGAGGGAACCATGTTGCACATAGAATACATGATGTTTACAATAAATTCTGCAACAGAAAGTAATGACCAAGCTGTTATTCTCATTAGCTGAGTGGGTCACGAACACATAGACAGTAACCTATCCACTTTACTCAATGAGGGTGATGACTAATCGGTTACCAAGCGTCAGGACAGCAATAATCTCATTATGTGTAGGCCATTAAACCTGAAGGAGCTGGAGTGCACTAAAGCCCTGTGACCGAGCCAGTGCCCACTGTCAATTACGGTGGAACTGCCTCATACGCAGCCATGCGAAATAATTCAATTATGTCGCCGACCCCGCACCGTTCTTTGAAGGCCTGAGTCAACATGGCACTGGACATGGAGATTAGCCCAACGTGGTCAGAAGTAAAAAAAAAAAGACAACCTGAAACAACAGAGAAGATAAGCAGGTCTTCCCAAACGAGCAGCAAAATCTAATCAAACCTGTTAGGGAGGAACAGCAAATCTGGACGTCAGCAGAAATGACAGCCTTCGCTGCTTGCATGCATGAACTTGAACGCTGGGGTTACTTTCTGTTTTAGCTGGAGCGCAAAACCAAATGACAACAGGCCAACATCAACAGAACTTCAGCTTTAAGGTGTGTGTGCTTATTAAGCTTAAGCTGAGGCATCTCTCAAAAGGTTAGCCAAAACAAAAAAAAAAGAAGACTGGTCTGTCCCAGTAAATGGACAGGATATTAATCATTAGTGATGCACATGCACAAGCCTGACTGGTCCACTCATGTCACGTGACATCAACATTTAGGCAATACTATTAGGTCAGCATCCCCAGAAATGGATTAAATTAGGAAATTCATGACAAATTCATCCTTCTTTGTGTGACTGAAAGTGGAGTATCTAATGCCTTATTAGCCATTAAGTCAAGTTTCACCCAGCCACCTGCAAATGCTGTATCAGATTAGCCAATTAAGATCTGATCATTCTTATCAGTAAGCATGCTGTCACGCTTCAGTTGTGAAAGAGGACCCTTGACCTGCTGTCGACATGGAAATGATAACACAGCTGGGTATTCTTGTGCCATTCAGGGCTGCAATAATAAATATGTATACACACACCATCATACATACACTCAAAAAAATGGCTCTTCAAGGGTTCTTTAGTAAGGCAATGAGTTCTATACAGAGCCATTTCATGCCTCAATGGTTCTCTGCATGGTGAAACAGCTCTTCAGATTGATGGATTATGTTTTATAACGATATTGTTCTATATAGCACTAACAAGGGTTGCTCTATCGTCACAGGCTTGACATCATAACAGCAGCAGAAGCCTTTTTAGTGATATATAGTGCCATATACAGCACATTCTAGAACAATCTGAAGAACCATTTCACCCTTTAAGCATGAAACGGTTCTAGATAGACCCCCTTTACTAAAAAGCCCATCTTTGTAGACTCACATATTGGCTGAATCTCAAACGTCTCCCCACTTCCTACATAGTGCACTGCTTTGGTCATGAAACTATGCCTTCCACACCCACTAAATGTTAGTTAGAGGGAGCGTTAATATAAATGGCCTTCTATTAGACATTAGACTGCACTGCTCGGATGCAGAAGCCGTTATTTCATGACCTACAAAGTGCACTACATAGGGAGCAGGGAGCCATTTGAGATTCAGCCCTAGACAAGCACTGACATAGACTACAGCCGCTTTCCAGGACGTGGATAGAGCCTAGCTTTATTTAATGCCCACTGACCGTTCAAAAAAAGACCTTTTTATTCAAAGCTTGAGCTTAGACCGGCTGGGGGGGGTCTGGGTCTTGTGTAGCTAAAGCGCTAGCTAACCTAGGTTAGCCCTGTACCGAGCCGTGTAGCATGAACGCTCGGTGTTAACGCTAAGTTAGCGCTAGCGTCCTCACCTCATACTGAATGTACTGTTTCCTCCACTCCGGAGTGATGTGCGCCGACAGATGCTCGGTAAATTTCATCCTGTGGGGTTCCCGTTTGCCTGTCAGAGGCTCCTTTCGAGGAGGGAAAATGTACCTTAACGCCGGCTGACAGGGATAAACGCGACTTTAGCGAAATGACGGGCGGCTGGAAACCGCTTCTCCTCCCTCAAGAACGGACGTTACTGTTACGGTCGCTCTCCGCTGCCCGCCGTGACAACAACAGCCGCCGAGGAGACACGAACCGCCCTCCGGCATGTTCCTGAAACGACTTCTCTCGCCTTCCCTTCGCTTTACGGGAGTCTTCTCGTGACCAGCTACCCGTCGGCGAGCACGGAAAACGCACACGAAGCTTCACACATCGCTCATTCCGCCGTGTTTTCTGAAGCCCAACGGTCTGGCAGCCGCCATAGTGTTGTCAGGTGGTGACGTCACCGCGCTCGTCATATACATCGCTGAAGAGGAGGTGGGGGGGTGTAGGGGGGTGTTTTTCATACAGAAATGTCTTCATTTCTACGCTTTATGTTCTCGTTTTCTAAAAACAAGACTAAAGTCTTACACGCAGAGGACCCGGCGACACGTACGAGCCAACGGATTAGCGCGAAGCCGTTGTTTTTGCGCTTAACTTGTTTACATCAGCGCCGGTGTCTCTTATTAGGGGCTTAACGTTTCTCAGCAGCATGCTAGCTACGTCTGTTAGCTATAAGGGGCCTGTTTTCCCCCAAAGCAACCAAAAAAGGGGATTATGGGGAATTTGATTTCTTTTGCAGCTGTTGGTGCTGTCCATTCACTACATCTAGCTCGTACTCCCTCTCACGGACCACTTTATATAAGGTCCACCTCTGTCTAAGGTCCACTTTAGCTATAAGTGTACTATTAGGCCATTTGTTGTCATGCATTTGTCAGCCATGCTGTATCCCATTCATCATATCATTGGCCAGTTTCTGACCACAAGGCCGATTATTTTTGACACAGCATCCTTCATTGCGCAATAATTGTGGCTGGTGAGACTAATATGGTGAAAGGGGAATTCCACCAATTTCAATATTTGTGTATAATTCAGTCGTTGAGACGTAAACAGTCTTTCAGAGTGGTTTGATGTCAAATGGGTCATTGTAGATAAACACACTGATTTTTTTGAAGTGGTGGCGATAGGGGTCATGATGTCAACCGTAAATATAGCCATTTTATTTACTAGCCAAAATGACCAGTGTCTAGTTTTTATTTGTTATGCTGATGATGGTAAAATGGTGGTACATCCTGAAAAATAAGTTTTCTTTGGGAACTATTTTGCCTCACAACACATTGCAGGTATCCCGTCGCCATAAATTAATCTTCAGTACATTTTAGGCCAAATTCTTCTTTCAAAACTATCATAAAACAATGTTTCAGACATCAGGCAGCAAACCTTTCTGTGTCTTTTAGAGACACTGAACTCCTCAGATGTTGGGTTCCTATCACCACCACTGGTCACTGTGAACAATTCTCTTTCTTTAGAACGGACCATTTCACACCAAACTACTCTGAATGATTTTGCTTGCATCTAAACTGTGCAGAAAGTTTGAAAAATTGGTGGGATTCCCCTTTAAGACTGGAAATGGGATGTCTGAACATATTCAAGAAGGGCTAAGCTCTTCTGTTTATGCCTCATTTATAGAAATAATCATGCTATATCTTTTTTTTAATGTATGCATATATCAGACGTTGAGATGTAAATAAAGTAATTCAGAGTTGTCTGATGTGAAATTGTGCATTGTAGACTCAAAGCTCTTTGCAGTGGTGATGATAGGAACCAAAGGTCATGGTGGCAAGAATCATATAATATAGCCATTTAACTGACACATCTTCTGAGTTTTTATATGTAAGGTCATGTCAATAATGTAAAATTGTGGTAAATCGTGGAAAAAAAGGCCCTCTGCCATTAATGGATTTAGTTGTAGGCCAAAATCTGATCTCAAAACTAGCAAACTACCTCAAAACAATGTCTCAGGCATCAGGCCGCTTAACTATTTAGATAGCTTTCTGTGAGGGAGCTTCTAGATGCATTAAGCTCTTCAGACGCCTGGTTCCTATCACCACCACTGTGAACGATTCTGTCTATGTACATTTCTCTATCAGTTTCACATCAAACCACTCTGAATGACATTTTGTACATCTTAACCATTACATTATACAGAAAGTTTAATTTGGTGGAATTCCCCTTTAAAGAGGTCTAGACAGTGTCATGTCTCATGCAGAAGCTGACTGTTGTCCACGTTACCTCATGCTGTAAGGAATACATTTGTTGTTAGAAGTTATTTTCCCAAGTGTTGACTAAATGCTGACACAGTGTGAAGTATGACACCTACGTCAGAGCTTGACTGGTGAACTTTCAGTACTCGACATTCTGCACTTTAAAGCTCAGTTATCAGCTGATGTCAGCTTTAAGCATAGCAAACCACATTGGCTGGACAATACGGAGGTGTTCAAGCAGAATAAAATAGTTTATTGTAAAAAAAAAAAGCAAATATAGAATCATATTTGGAAAATGTGTAAGCAATTAGCTTACATAAATGCTATTAGAAGCAATAAGAAAATAAAATATATAACATAATATGATATATACTCATGTGAAATGACACAAAAACAAAACAGGCATTTTTACAGCTGAACACTATGTCAGATTCCTGGCTAGTTGCTAGCATTCAGTGTAAAGGAGTATTCGTAATTACTGTACACACTGTACTGTGCAAAAGTCAGAGACCACCTTTTCTTTATGTAATTTCCAGTCAAAATTTCCAAATCTGGAGTTAAGAAGTATTAAAAGCTACAGAGAAAATGAGACTCTCCTAACAACCACCCGGAGGACCTGGTAGACACCAAAACTGCCCCCATCAGATAAACAGCTCTCATCTTTGAGAGAGAGGAGAAAATCAAGCTGCTTCAGATCTGAAAACATCCACAGGTGTTTCTGTCCATCCTTCCACTGTGAGAAGACGACTCAGTGCTTTGGGTCTGAAAGGATGTGTAGCTGTCAAGAAGCCTCACTGAGAAAAGGAGACCGACACATCAAACAAAGAAGCTCAACAATGGACTGACCACCCCAGAGTCCAGACCTCAATGTCAATGAATGTGTTTGGGATTATATGGACTGTGAGAAGCAGAAAGTGCAACCAACCTCTAAGACTGAACTGAACTTGTACTTAATGGCTGTTTTGGCTAGCAGTAAATAACTGAAGGGTGGTCTCTGTCGTTTGCACAGCACTGTACATGGTCACCAGCACGCAGCTGGGCTGAAAAGCTTCAGGACGACTGAGCCACTGAAGGAGGCGTGTGTGTGTGGGAGCCATTTTTCTGTCAGCTCTCTGTCAGTCTGTGTGCAGTGCAGCCTGGTGTTCCAGTAGAGTGCTGTGGATGTGCTGGAAGCTGGGCCTCTCCTTGGCGTTCCTCCTCCAGCAGCTGTGCATGAGGCTGTGAACTGCATCAGGACAGCAGGCAGGCCGCGGGAGGTAGACCTGTCAGAAGAAAAACACAGCTCAGCACTGCCATCTTCAGGAGGAATGAGGTATAGCAAGGCCTTGGAGGCTTTCTCAGAACTGCTTCTGGCCTGGGGTTTTTTGGTTTCTGTCCTGAAGGGGTCATAGCGGTTTCCCTGCTTTAATACAGACAACTGAAAGGCTTGGTCAGCTTTATAGGAACACTAACCTCAGTGATGCCAAGGGAACAAAACAGCTCACCAGAAGTGGAGCTGTAGAACAAAAAATGTTTAAAGGCCCCATTAAGGGCCTACAAGGTTTTTTCCTGTGAGGTCAATGGATCAAACATTTGAACAATTTGTCATTTGACATGTCTCGTTGATAAGGTAACATGTCCTCTAAAGAAAGCACACAGTTTAATGCATAATTCCTATTTATTTGCTCAGTTTAACAAATTGGAAGAAATAAAAAGGAAGAATAGAAAACGTGCTATAACTTTTGCACAGGCCACATTTTGATTTATTTTGTTTCTCAATATTTTAAATTCAGCAAATAAACAGTAATTGTGCATTAAAATGTGCAGATGTGTGTTCTCCGTAAAGGACGTGTTCCCTTATTTTCACTTAGAAAATTAACATGTAATTTGACCAGTGGTGCCTAAACTTTAACATATGACAGTATGTAAATGACATCTGACCTGATTGGATGAACTATATTGTTTATCATTCAAAAAGTATTTCAGGCTGAAATACTCCTTATAACTTCCGTGTGAATGGGTGGGCTAAATTGCTGTAGGCTGAATAGGCAGATATATGTTAATACACTGTTTTTTGTGACATCACAACAACAGTGAATTCAAAATGGGCTGCTTTTGCAGCATAACTGTAGACTTTATGTCCCAGGGAGTGAAGAGTACACTTTGAAAATAATTTTAAATGGTTTTCCATGATATGGGCTCTTTAACATTGCAATGTTGTTGATTTTGGAATCAGGTCTATGTAATATGAATAAAGGATTTAATTTCTTATATTTTATTTTGTCCACTTATAAAGTTTGTGTGGTCTTATGTATGGCCATAATTTGTCATTTTTACATGACAATATTGTAGCCTCTTTTACACTGTAGAATAAACAGACTGTTTTTGTTACTGTGCTTTTAGGACTCATATATACAAATGGCCTCTGTTATGATTGGTTGCCCTTTATGCCTGCAGTCTGGGCTGAAATGTGTAGAGCAAGCTGTTAAGCACTGAAATCCAGAACGTCAGGAAAAATAAACTTCATCTGCTGCTTTTGAGTTTGATACATTGAAAGGCTTCAGTGATCAATTTGCTTCCTGAAAGCCATGAACAGCACAACGTTTAATCGTTTTTCCAAATCTTAAACTCCAATAACTCTGCTACAGATTATCTGCAGGAACAGCACTTCACATTAGAATGGGTGGGGCGAAACATCTGCAGTCTGAATGGGTGGTCATATGTAAATGCATTCATGGTTGTGACATCACAACAGGTTTGTGCAGCTTAGTTTCCTTATATAGACTGTATGGACTGGGGTGAACGGTACATTTTGAATCTTAAACATAAAGTACACCATCCACATCTTCATGAAAAAGAGCAAGGAAAGGACAGTCCAGTTTTCCATGATAAGGTTCCTTTAATGTGTATAAAAATAAGACATTTTAAAGATGGGCGTGAGGCTGACCTGCTTGTTCTGGTCTCGAAAGAACTCGCCCGTGTTCTCGATCACCTGGTCGTCTGAGAGATCTGAGTAGGGCTGCTCTTTACACAGAGTGAGCGTCTCCCAAAGAGTCACCCCAAAGGCCCACACGTCACTCGCCATGGTGAACTTACCCTGGAGAAACCACAAAGAAACACTGTGTGCTCAGCACATACAGTATATTTTTACTGTATTTACTATTTTCCATATTACATCAAAACTAAGGCCAAGTTTGGTAACACTTTACTGTAGGGTGGTGTTCATAGACTACATCACACCTACATACACTTATCATGACTACTGAATTTAACCTACATAAATAACTATAAAGGCTTTAAAGGGCTTGATTCATACATCTTCCTTGTTTTTTTTATTGTTTACAATAAACAATAGTAATTTAATAGTTTACTGTTTACAGTAAACAATAGTGATTTATTTTTACATTACCTTCTTCCAAACTTCTCTTCATCCCTTAGAATAAAACAGAGTGTTTTTGACCCAGACTGGTACATGCAAATAACCTCTGTTCTGATTGGACACCCTGTATTGTGCCTCATTCACTGCTATAACTGCTGTAGACTACTTAGGCAGATATACATAAATCTGTGACATCACAAAAACAATGAGTTTCCATATGTGGACTATAAGGAAAACTGAAACTATAACAATATTTGCATACTACTTTTTAAAAAATTAATTTACAAAAGTGTGGAAAATTCAGTTTTCCATGATGTTGCCCCTTTAAAATTATGGAAAACTAAACTGACCATTCAATACATACATCATAATTAATATAGGAGCACTTTGTAGTTCTACAAGTACAGACTGTAGTCCCTTTCACCTTGTTCTTCAGGATGGTGAGGACCCCCACAGGACCACCACAGACCAGGTACTATTTGGGTGGTGGGTCATTCACAGCACTGCAGTGACACTGACGTGGTGGTGGTGTGTTAGTGTGTGTTGTGCTGGTACAAGTAGATCAGACACAACAGTGCTGCTGAAGTTTTTAAACACCGTGTCCACTCACTGTCCACTCTATTAGACACTCCTACCTTGTCGGTCCACCTTGTAGATGTAAAGTCAGAGACAGTAGCTCATCTTTGGCTGCAGTTTGTGTTGGTCATCCTCTAGTCCTTCATCAGTGGTCACAGGACGCTGTTGGCTGGATATTTTTGGTTCTCCGTCCAGCAGCGACACTGAGGTGTTTAAAAACTCCAGCAGCACTGCTGTGTCTGATCCACTCGCACCAGCGCAACACATACTAACACACCAGCACCATGTTAGTTTCACTGCTGAGAATGATCCACCACCCAAAAATACCTGCTTTGTGGTGGTCCTGTGGGGGTCCTGACCATTAAGGAACAAGGTAACAAAGAAACAGATGGACTACAGTCTGTAAACTGTAGAACTACAAAGTGCTCCTCTATGGTCAGTGGAGCTGATAAAATGGACAATGAGCGTAGAAACAAGGAAGTGCACTTAATAAAGTGGCCAGTCGGTGTATATTAAAACTTTTGACTGGTATTATAGATGAGAGGCATCCTTTTCCCACAGGTTTCCCACAGTTCCTACCAGCAGAATGCTCTCCCAGGACATCCAGCGGATGGGCAGCACAGCTCGGCCCTGGATGCGGAAATAATCTCCGCGATACAGGTTCCTGCTCATGCCGAAGTCAGCGATTTTGATGGTGTTGTTTGTCCCTACCAAACAGTTGCGAGTGGCCAGATCACGGTGCACAAAGTTGAGGGACGACAGATACTTCATACCAGAAGCGATCTGGGTAGCCATATTGATCAGTGTGCTGTAACTGCAAAGAGAACAAGATTATGGTCCATAGCTTTAATATGCTCGACATAGCTATCAGTGAAAAATCTAACTAAAGAGGAATTCTACTGATTTTTTACAAATTCTACATAAATTCAGTGGTTGAGATGTAAACAGTGTCATTCAGAGTGGTTTGATGTGAAATGGTTCACTGTAGCAAAACTTTACAGTGGTGGTGATAGGAACCAGGGGTCGCAATGTCTACAACACAAATAGTGCCATTTTATTTACTATGTAAAACCACTAGTGAACCTATACGTGTCTTCTGAGTTTTATATGTAACATTGATGATGGTAAAATAGTGGTAAATCTGAAAAAAGAAGTTTTATCTGTGAACTAGTTTGCCTCACAACACCCTGCATGTATCCCTCCACGCCAAATGGGTTTTGAAATTATGTTTTAGGCCAAAATCTTATTGCAAAAGTGTCATAAAACAGTGTCTCAGGCTTCAGTGTATTCATTACTGCTTCATGTACTTTCTGTGAGGGAGTTTTGGAGGCATTAAACTCTTCAGACGTCTGGTTCCTATCACCACCACTTTTCAGTTTTGACTTGGTAAGTTTTCTTAGAATGGAGCATTTCACACCAAACCACTCATATTTTAATCATGCCGCAATTTAGAGAAATTGGGAACACAATCAAAGAAAGGTTTTCAGTAGAGCTATGAGGCTATTGTAGCTAACAAGTAAAGGAAGCTTATGTGCCTCAATTAGCATTGTGCAAGTCATGCTGTCAAGTAATCTTGATTATGGACACTGTTAGCTGTTAGCTATAAAAATAGACAAAAGTACATTGTACAGTTTTCCTCCACATTTTGCTCATTTATCTCAACTTTGGATACCAAACATGTCTTGCCTGATTAAATGAACGGTTTGTCACATCAACCAAGACATTTGGTCTTGACTAGTATCCAAATTTAGCTTCTTGAGTTTAGCGCTGTAGCCATGAGGCTAACATTGCTAACAGACAGTATAAATCAACAGTCGGCCAAATCATTTCTGTAAATACGTCAACAAAACGTCCCTCAACCAGCTCAAACTGCACCCAGGCCTCCATTGAGGTCATGTAGACTGGTTGATGTTGTTTAAAGAACAGTATGACTACTGCAAGCTATAAAAATGAACAAAACGTAATGGTGTAGCTAAACACAAACGGCAGCCATTTTAGAGAAAAGGTGTTATGCTACATTCCGAATCCCTCACAGAATCATGTTCAAGCACGACAGGCAGGCATATGGACGCTTTCGGTTGTGATTTCTGTTGTTTCTATTAAGTAAGTATACACATTCAGAAAAATATTAAGATTTTTATAGAAAGCAAAGTTATTTATAAAATGAAACAACAGAAATATGTAGCATTGGAAATGGGAATTTGGCTAGCCACTAGTGTTCAGCTATACAGGGATGTTTTCTTCGTTTTCATAGCTTGGGAAAGTTTTGGGAATGCATTTAAAGGAAAGATTTGTGTGTCTATTGCCTTCCAGTGCTTGCTAGTTATATTATCACTAAACTAAAGAAGCAAAACACCAAACATGTCTTGCCTGTTCAACCACATCTGGATTAATGGACAATTGTGTAAATTCGATTCTGTGCCAATTCCATTCTGTTAACAACATTTCCCAACTGTCATTTTAACAACACACGATTCATTATAGGTCTTCTGTGAAGTCTAAGAGTCAGTTTTATTGTAGCACCATCAGATAAGATCAGAATGCAAAGATCGGCTGAACAACCACGAATTGGCTGAGAATTCTGCAAGACCTCTTAGATTGTTTATCAGAAATACCACAAGCACTAACCCAGCAGACAGACCTGATGGTGGCGATGTTCTTCTGGTCTTCTCCAGATTCCTGAAGCTCATGGCGGGAGAGGAACTGGTTGAGGTCTCCGTTCTCCATGTACTCTGTGATCATGCAAAGTGGGTCGCTCTCCACACAAACAGCCAGCAGGCGGATGATGTTCGGGTCCCTCAACCTCGACATGATCCTGATCTCCTTCAGAAAGTCATTTCTGACCAAAAAAATTGGATCACTCTTAATGCGTTCTCTATGTTTGTGTGGCTTAGACTCGTTTATGCCCTTATTATAAAACATTATTGATGTTGGGGTACTAAGGAACTTGTCACATGTACACCGACCATCCACTTCAATAAGTACACCTTGTTTCTACACTCTCTATCCATTTTATTAGCTTCATTTACCATATAGGTGCACTTTGTAGTTTTAAATACTGGGTCCACTTACTGTCCACTATTAGACACTCCTACCTTGTTGGTCCACCTTGTAGATGTAAAGTCAGAGACAGTAGCTCATCTGCTGCTGCACATTTTTTGTTGGTTATCCTAAAACTCCAGCAGCACTGCCGTGTCTGATCCACTCGTACCAGCACATCACACACTAACACACCACCAGCACATCAGAGTTACTGCAATGCTGAGAATGATCCACCACCCAAATAATACCTGCTCTATGGTGGTCCTGTGGGGGTCCTGACCATTGAAGAACAGGGCAATAAAGTAAGCAGAGAAACAGATGGACTACAGTCTGTAACTGTAGAACTACAAAGTGCTCCTATATGGTCAGTGGAGCTGATAAAATGGACAATGAGTGTAGAAACAAGGAGGTGTACTTAACAAAGTGGCCGGTCGGTGCATTAAGGCAGAGGTGGGTATAGAAGACTAAATCCAAAAAGTGCTTTTCAAAAACAGCTAAAGTACCCAAGGAGTGGCTTAAAAAAGCTACTTAAGTACTTAGAGAACCGCAGTGGAACTTCATATTCCATCCAGCACCTACCTTGCATTTTTAGTTGCATCTTCTCTAAGAGTCTTTACAGCTACCAGAATGGGCTCATCCCCAATGCCATCGCCATCCTCCTTCATAAAGTCCTGCATTCCTCTGGCCTCACACAGATGGACCTGAAGCAGAAAGCTTTACTAAATGGAAGGTAAAGGTTCAAGACTTAAACCACACCCAGACACTTAACCCTCTAACTGTCCATCTGTAAAGGAATATTTTTGCCCAAAATGTTCCATTTTACCCCAGGATGTAAGACATCTTTGGTGCTGGAGTTTGCTTTTTTATGTTTTGCGCTGATGTAGCTAACAAGTAATGGAAGTTTAAACCACACCGTTTAGCATTGTGCTAAACTACCCCTGAAAAAAGAAACAGCACAAACCAGCATGGATTCCATGTAGGTCTAAGCTGGTTTATGCAGGTCTGGTGTTGGTTTAGCTGGTCACCCAGCATGGCTAAGCTGGTTAAGGTCAGGATTAGCATACTAGCATCCAAAACATAACATATGTTGCTTTTGCTGGTGACCAGCCATGGCTGGACTATGCTGGTTTTTGTAGTAGGGACACCCTAAATCACCACCCACTCGCCTCAAACCATTTTGAGTTGGTTAGTAATCTGAAGACTTACTTATGTGGTTTTAACACTGTATGCTATGAAGCTAGCTTTTAGCTCTGCGACATACCATCTTATCGATAGCCACAGAGGGGTTACCTCATGGGCCTTCTGGGGACTAAAACATAAATATCTGTAATTTTTAGTTCATTTTTATTCAATAGAATCATCATCCTTGCTGTATTTAAACTTGTAGTACTACTCTAGCACTGAGTCGGGGCTTTTTACTGAAAGAGTCACTGTAAAACTGCCAGAAATAAAATATATGTTTAATGTCTGTTAAGCTTGAAATATACCATGAAATGTCTTTTACAAGTCTGTCTTAAGTCTAGAGCAGGCAAAAAACATTAATGTGCACCAGTGTTAGCTTAGCACCTACATACTGGTTAGCACTAGCAGTATTTATTGTAGAGGTGGGCTTTTGTTTCTCGTTTTTCGAAATTTTGACATTTATGAACTGAACTGGAGGATCTAACAATCACAGTTCACCACTCAATGGTTTTCCAGCCCCAGTTTAAGTTTAAGCCTAGATTAAATGAGATTTTTAAACACTGACACTGCTGTTTAGTCCAAGACTAAGCTTTATCCTTTGTCCACAAAACCTTGGCCTATCCTTGCCCAGAGTGTTAAAAACCACATTAGCAATGTGTTTGAGATTACTTAATGACTTGTAGTAGCTTTTCAAAACAGAAAAAACAAAATGACTGGTCACCAGCAATACCATTATGTGTTGTGTTTTGGATGCTGGTATGCTGGTCAACCAGCAAGACCCTACTGGGTGCACAAGACCAGCACTGGGCCAGCATAAACCATTTTAGAGAGTTCATACTGGTCTAAGCTGTTTTTTAGCAGGGTGTTGAATTAGCCATTCAGTTTGCACAATACTAACTACTCTTTACTAAAAACTAAACCTCATTGCTGACCGACTCCATTTAAATGAAGGGGAACATCTGTGTAAATTTGATTTTCATCACATTGTTCCTTTAGCTGCATACAAACCAGTGAAGCATCAAAATCAGATTACATCTAAAGAGCATGCTGTTTTGCTTTGCTTCATCAAATGCGAGGCCTCTTCACTGACCTCTCCAAACTGCCCTTCTCCAAGCTTCTCTTTAAATGTCAGCTTCTCTCTGGGGAACTCCTCCAGAGCTCCGTCCCGCCCCGGCGGCAGTGGCACGGTGACCGCAGCGACGGAGTAGCCTCGGCTGCTCACGGGCTGCTGGCTCACTATATCTGCCTCTGCGTAGTGGGGGGCATCGTCTGCATGGACTGCGGGAGGCTCATCAGAGGACGCAGCTATCACTGCTGTAACACAGTCATTACAACATGGAGTAAATATGCACATCTGAAACAGCCCATATTTAAGAGCCTGCTTTCCTTAAAGGGCCCATATCCTACATTTTTCTGGAATTTTATTTTTTCATTTTTATGACTTTTGTGAACTTTTATGTACTAATTTAAGTCAGAATTCATTCTAAGCATGACTGTTCTCCAAAATCTCTTAGAACTGAACACATTGTTTTTATTAATATGTCTTCAAGGCTGGTATATGTAAATGAGCTCTGTTTTAATTGGCTGGCTCGTCAAAAGTCCAGGGTGAAACACTACTTATAACTTCAGTATCAATGGGAAGGGCTAAATTGCTGTATGCTGAATAGGTAAATATACTGTGTGTAAATGTGCTGCTTTCCATGACATCAATGTTGTTGAAGCTAAGTTTCCATATATGTACTGTATAGTATAGTGTTAATGGTATGTTAGGGAACTTCAACAGAGTTTACCACCTCTTTTATTCCAAAATGAAAAAAAAATCATTTTTATTTAATAAATTTATCACCCTTGTATTTGTACTCTGCAAGTAGTAGTAATAATCTTAAGTTGTATTTGGAAACAAAATGCTTAAATCCTTGAAATGGCCAAGAAAATGATTCATTTAGGACTCTTCTCCCTCTCGCAATGCCATTGGTTAGGACTTCAGGAGCTGGACAGAAGGCCTTACATGTTAGACTGCCAACATAATTAGGAAGCAGACCAATCATGATTTGATTTGCAATGGTGGGGAACCAATTTTGTGAGAAAATCACTCTAAATCACATGTGTCAGGCTCCAGTCCTGGTGGACCAAAACACTGTAAACTTCAGCACACTACCTCATTAAACACACCTGATTCAGCTCATCAGCTAATTAGCAAGGCCTTCATGAACTAAATTCAGAGCTGTAGATGAGGGTAAATGCTAATCTCTGCAGCACTCTGGCCTGGAAGGTCCCCAGTTTGACATGCCTGCTCTGAACTGTTAAAAGCTGACTGTGTTTGATCTATAACTACCTAAAAATGTTCTTGTACACCAGTGTTAGCTTAGCGCTCACATACTACTAGAAACCCCATGGGGCGCTAGTAGATATTAGCATTACATTAGAGGTGTTTTGTCTTGTTTTTGACATTTATGGTCTGAATTGAACACCTAGCTCTAATGGCCATGTCTCACCACTGATTTTGGGTGAGTGTATAGCTGAGCAAATTAGACTTTTTTGCTAAACTATTCCTTTAGCTGCTAACCTCAGTAGTAGCTATAAAGCTAATTGGGGCCAATACAGATATTTGTAGGAATTCTAACAAACTAAGATGCAGTTTTGTTCATTGGTTACTAATGAAAGAGCGTGCCTTTAGCTTAAAGGCCAACCTTTCACACAATTTGCTTTGTGACAATTCGCTATAGAGCAATCTCCATTACGTATCATATACTGATCCGCGTTGGTATTTTTGGTCTGTTTCTTGAGTAAGATGTATAAACTTCACAAGTGAACCAGATTAGAACTGCTGTTCCTCACCAAGGTTCTCCGTGGCTTGAAATTCTGGTGATTTGCGTAAGGGGTGGGATGGCTCCTGATAGTCAGAACCTAGGGGGAAGACCCTCTCATACGTGGAGGTGGAGTCGGCTTCACTGGAGACGGAGGAGAGGCGACGGGCGAAGGCTTCCCTATGGGCCGAAAGACGTGCCGTCAGTTCATCGTCCAGCATGCGTCTCGAGGCCTGTAACAATTTTTTAATTCATTTAACTTATTTATTAACAATTATTATGTAATTTTTAGCGTTTAACATATCCATAAAGCTGTACACTCATTACATGAACACTTTAAATCCATTAGTTATTCAGTTATTAATTTGAAGATTTTTTACTAAGTAGCTACACTAATTTATTTAGTAACTACAATAAAGCTAATATGTAAGTTGTGTAGTTATGAAAGTGAAGAATTCAAGTCTGGACCCACATTCGAGCCTTTAGATATTTTGAGGAGATAGAGATATAAGATAATCCAAGAATAAGGAAGGAGAAAACTTGTAGCCTTAATATATTAATTTTTGCCTTCAATATGGTAATTTGTGGCCTCAAAATTTAAATTTGTGACATTAATATAGTAACTTGTGGCCTCAATATATTCATTTGTGGCCTCAATATAGCAATATACTAACTTGTGGCCTTAATATAGTAAATTGTGGGCTCAATATAGTAACTCATAGCCTCAATATAGTAATTACTGGCCTCAATATAGCAACTCATGGCCTCAGTATGGTAATTTATGGCCTCAATATAGTAAACTGTGGCCTCAGTATAGTAAATTGTGGCCTCAAAATATAAATTTGTGGCCTTAACATATTAACTTGTGGCCTCAGTATAGTAATTTGTGGCCTCAAAATAGTATTTCATTGGCCTCAATATAGTAACTTGTGGCCTCAATATAGTAAATTGTGGCTTCAATTGAAATACTCCAACAAAAATGCTTATAAATGATTGAAATGCTTCAAAATACTTGGAATAAAAACCTCTTCACATTCATTTACACTAAAAAAAACAAAGTTTTGGCGATACATGTTTTCTTTGGTCAGCGACAATATGATTTCTGCTTTTTACTTGATGCTGAAAAACAAATTACGTGTGCTTAATGGCCATTTTGACTGGAAATGTAATGAATGAAGGGTCTCTGATTCATTGCTCATTACACAGTACTGTACTGGTAAATGTATTAAAGCCATAGATCTACTACTTGTTAGCCACAATTGCGTCGTAGCTGCAAAGCAAAATTAAAGAAGCTAAACTTGGCTGAAATTTGGGCCAAAGGAAAAATAGTTTGAATGTAATTTTTCTCCAACTGAAAAATAAAAAACCACAGGTGTTAAGGCTAATAGAAGGTAAAATCGTGGACTGTTTGATTAATAATATGCATTAAACAGTACAGAAAACATAACTGGGGCCTTATTTGTGTCTTACTGTTTTCCAATAACTAGTCCTTCATTGCCAACAGTACTAATGAAAAAAGAAGTGTCGACATTATGAACGGAGCTAATCACTCACTTTCTCCAGCATCTTCTGCCAGACCTGTCGCCAGAGGATGATGATGATGATGGCCAGCAGGATGACGATGATGGCCACCAAACAGCCTATGAGGATGCGTGTGTTGCTGTCGTCGATCTTGTGTGTGGGGTCACCTCCTAAACAGAAGCGTGGATTATTTCAGAGTCAAGGATCAATTACACCAAATGATGTGAATGTGAAACTGTTCAAACTGGTTGTGGCACTATGTAAACAGCAGGGGGCGCTGCTGACTGCATGCTTTACACCATATTTACAACCTTGAGTGGAGAAAAATCTTGAAGAAGGCTGAATAAATCTGTTTAATGTCAGCGATCCTTTGTTACTCACCCGGATGGACCCTAGTTGGGTGGCCACGCTTCCGAGGACCTAGAGAGGTGTTGTATGCTGCCGTGTCTGAGGTTTGGAAAGGTGAAGGGCGTTAATCTCTCACAGATCTGGATCTTATCTAGTCACCATTTGCTCTGCTCATAAATTCACACATATATGGACATTCTCAAAATCAGAGCTGAAAACCTGGAGTTTAGGCTAAAATCCTTTTGCTTTAACAGCCCTGTACCTTAATTCTGTTTATTTTATGAAAAAAATATGATTGAACATTCCATTTTGTCACTACCAAAACAATCATAACACTACCGAAACTGTACCAAATGTTTAAGCAGTGACTGTTTAGGTAGTGGCAATTTCGAGTGTTTCGGTAATGACAATTTCAGCTAACATTAGCAATTACATGACTAGCAAACACAACTTTGGACAGTCGTGCACACATAAAATCATAATAAAAAGAAAACGTGTTTCGGTAGTGACAATTCTTGTGGAACTCAATGTTCCACACTGATTTTCAGACTTTTCAGGGATACATTTACTTCAAAACAGTGGGGTCTAACTGTTTACCATGTGGCCATGAGAGACAGGGATGCAGTCTCACTTCCTGCTCTAAAATGCAGGGGTGTGGTTTAAACAAGCTCCGCCTATGGACTAAAACTGTGTTTCGGTAGGTGACATTTTTTGAATTTGGTTTTATTTCAAAATTAAACTCCTGATCCTAAATCTTTGAACATAAATTCAAATCAAAAAGATCGACAACACAGAAAAATACAAAAAACTGTATGTATTATTTGAACAATTGCCAATTTAGCGGTTAGGGTTTGGAAAAGACCCCTCCCAATATAAAGTACCCTATAAATGATGATATTGTACTGATTTAGCTTATTACTATCTCAGTTAATGTTTTGGTTTTAAATACATCATAACATAATCCAAATATCAAAACCTCATATCTCCAAAATGGTAACTTTACAGGAGAAGGAAAAAGTCTACTTTACTTTTAATGTAAGTCAATGGAACCAGACTTTTTTCCAAGTCATTTTGGGCCGTTTCTTTAAGTCCATTCATCATTAAATTTACACAAAATGTAAAGGGCGACAGGCATTTTCAAATTATGCCAAAAACTGAAAAACGTCAAAAATGGAGATAAGAGCTTTTCTTCCGACAACAGCGATATGTATATTTATTTGTGGGAATACAGTTTGAATTTATCCGGTAGATGGTCAGTAGATTAAATGATAGCTTGGCAAAATGTAGTTGGTTAGAAAAGACATGGTAGGTGTTTGAAGTCTGCTTCATTATAATAATGTAATTCAAAGACAGTGTTTGAAAAAGTACTTGACCAAAAAAAAGCTATTGATTGAAAAAGCAATCAACCAATTAACACAATTAAGGAAAAGGTGAGAAATGAAGCTAATGACCATGTGTAGCACAGGAGCTATCCATTACCTGACTGGAAAGCGACCTCGCTGAACATCATCCAGGCATCACTGAATGCAAAGTGGCACTTAATGGCGCTGGCCATGCGATTCCCAAGAGCCACTGTGACAAAATGTGCACTTGTATTGGTATCATCCTCTATGGGTTTGAAAGAAACAGGCTTGGCTTCCCAATCCGACTCCGAACGGAAGTAGCAAACGGCTTGCCGGAATACTCTCACCCCTAATGTGTACATGTTGTTGCAGTGGACCTAGAAGAACAAAGAGTGATTACTGTTACACTAATGAAAAGGATTTACACTCAGTGGCCACTTTATTAGAAACACCTAAACTGTGCTTCTACTGACTGGATATTTTATTAGAAACGCCTAAATTGCACTGATTGGTCACTTTGGTAGAAACATACTGTACTTCCACTCACCGGCAACTTTATGACATTTAAATTTTACACTTACTGGCCACTTCATTAGAAACCATCATAGTACACGGTCACTGGCCACTTTATTAGAAACACCTACATCATACACTTACTGGCCACTTTATTAGAAACACCTACATTACTCGCTCACTGGCCATTTTATTAGAAACACCTACATTATATGTGTACTGGCCACTTTATTAGAAACACCTACATTATATACTTACTGGCCACTTTATTAGAAGCACATAACTTATATGTCCACTATATAGTTGTACAGTTGCACACTGTTCCCCATCTGTTGTATGCTCCTCCATCCCTTTTATCACTGGTCAGATTCTGACCCCAGCATAGCAGTGACCCTGACATGGTAGTGTGTGTGGTGCTGGTAAGAGTGTATCAGACACAGTGGTCTTCCTGGGGTTTTTACATATGTCATTATCACTACTAGGTTGAGAGTGGAGCGTCACCCAAAAATATCCAGACAAAAGCAGGTCTGTGGTCAGAAACTGACCACTGATGAAAAGCCAGAGTATGGCTAACACAAACTGCAGGATAAATGTTTCTAACACAGTGGCTGATGAGTCTATGTGTCAAAGCAATAAAATATATTGCAGCTGAGGGAAAAGCCCAGACTGACCTTCATTGACGTGAAGTTCCTGACACGGTCAAACTCAAACGTCATCTCCACAGAGCCACTGGGAAAACTGGCGTTGGTCCAGCCGACATAGTCATAGCCAGGCCACACACCGTAGATCTGGCTTTGAGTGAAGTTATCCAAACCCCAACTTCCGTCGGTCAGCTGACCGAGGCCTTCCGTCATGCTGAGAGACACGAAAGGTATAGACACAACACTACGTTTGCTACAGTTTTCAGTTTATGAACAGATAACAGACAGTAAAGTGTCTGTTAAAAGGCCCAAATCCTACATTCTTGTATTTAATTTTATCACTTGAGGTCCACTTATAACATTTGTGTTGGTTTGTATAGCAAAAACAGTCAATTTAATATTTTTTACATGACCATTTTCAGGCCTCTCTTTATTTTTAGAATTAAACAGGCTGTTCGTTTAAATACTAGCCCTGTAAGATTGATTATATGTAAATGAGCTCGGTTCTGACTGGCTGCCTTTTGCTTCATTTACAAAGCATTCAGAGGCGCTTATTCACTCCTTATATCTTCAGTGTGAATGGGTGGAGCTAGACTGCTATAGGCTGAATAGGTGGATATATGCAAATGACTTGGTTATTGTGACATCACAGAAACAATGCATTTGAAACAGGCTGAGTTTCCTTATAAGGACTGTGAGAGCTAGAGTAAGAATACAGAACTGCAAACCTATAAAATATTCTGAAGCAAACTTCTCAGTTAATCTGGATACTTTTAAAAATGTTCTGCTTTTTTTAGAAAATTTACTGAACTATAAAATATTTTTTTTACAATTTTTTAAACAAATTATTCACACATCACTGCTTGCTATACTTTCAGCCTGTAAGTTTGCAGAAATAATTCACCTTTGGCTCACAGCTCCATCGTACACGGTGTCATTAAGATAAATATGCTGGTCATGAAAGGTCATCTCCTGGCCAGCAGGGGCACTGTAGGACACGAGACCATCTGCAGCAGAGGACAAATATGATCTGATGTAAGAATTTAAGAATTCTTAAATTTCTTAAGAAAGGAAAGTTATGCTGTCATACTTGGGTGTATAAAGAGCATACACAAAAGGCTCAGTTGTTTATGATCAAAGGGGTCATAGTTCACCACTTTGCAAAAAAAATGTATAAGCAAATCCAACAGTTTAAGAACAAGGTTTCAACACACGATTGCAAGGAATTTAGAGATTTCACCATTTACAGCCCTTAACATTTAAAGATTCAGGGAATCCAGAGAAATCTGTGTGTGTGTGTAAAGGGTAGGGCTGAAAACCAATGTTAAATGGCCCTGACCTTTGAACCCTCAGATGGCATTGCATTAAAAACAAACATTCTTCTGTAACAAATATAACTACATGAGCTCAGGAATACTTCAGAGAAATCCTTGTAAGTAAACACATCCTGGAAGCCATATATGAAAAAACATCCAGAAACGCCGCCAACTTCTCTGGGTTAATGCTCATCTGAGATAGACTGATGGACTCTCAGGAGTGACTGACTGGTTATCTGGCTGACTGAATGACTGACTAGCTGACTCTTTGACTTACTGATTTACTGACTGACTTCTTGACTGACTAATTGACTGAATGTTTCACTTAATGACTGACTGAATTATTCACTGACTGATTGATTCACTGACTGACTGACTCACTGAATGATTCACTGACTAACTGAATTATTCACTGACTGATCGAATGATTGACTGACTGACTGACTGACTCACCAAATGATTGACTGACTCACTGAATGATTCACTGACTAACTGAATTATTCACTGACTGATCGAATGATTGACTGACTGACTGACTGACTCACCAAATGATTGACTGACTGACTGAATGATTCACTGACTGACTGACTCACTAAAAAATTGACTGACTGACTGAATGATTCACTGACTGACTCACTCACTGAATAATTGACTGGCTGACTAAATGAATCACTGAGTGATTGATGATTCTTTGATTAACTGACTGAATGAATGATTCACTGAATGACTGATTTACTGACTGACTAAATTAATAATTCACTGACAGACTAAATGACTCACTAATTGATTGACTGACTGACTGAATGATTCATTGACTGACTGACTGACTGAATGATTCACTGACTGACTGCCTGAAGGAATCACTGAATGACTGACTAACTGAATGATTCAATGACTGACTGACTGATTTACTGACAGACTGAATGAATCATTCACTAATTGACTGAAAGATTCACTGACTGACTGAAAGATTCACTGACTGACTGACTGACTAATTTATTAATTGAACTGACCTAGCCATTCACATCCATAAAGTTCCACCCTCATACACACAATCATGGAGTGGTCAGTCACAGGCATGAACCGGACGAAGCGAGCGATGATGGGCGGCTCCAGGTCCTTCAGCACCACGTCATAGGGGTTCTTGTTCCCCTCAATGATCTAAGAATAAACAAGTGGTCACAGAGAATAGTAACAGTTGCAGCTGTAACAACAACAACAAAAACATCAAAATGAAAATGGGTCACAAACATGTATCAAAGCCAAAATACACTTAGGTCACACCAAGTAATAGGCCAACCACAACAAACTGGCTTGTAATGGAATAGCTGGGTGAAAAAAATAATTTACATCAAGTCAACAAGACGTGTTTCACGTCTTAAGTTTGTTACTTAAGTTTTGCACTGGATCTATGAGGCTAATGCAGCTAACAAATAATGTCAGCTTATACTCCACCAATTTCCAGATGATAAAAATGGATAGAAGGACATTGCTTGGCTAAAAAACAATGGTAGACCATCTTGAGGCCTAAATCTTGTCAGCACTTTCGTCCAATTTCACAGATATCCGGATGTTATACAGTGCCAGGAACCACATAATCAAGTCTATTTTAGATTACCTAAAGCTGCACTATGTAGGTTTTGGGGATCTGGAGACCTCTCTGGTGGAAAAGTGTAATTGCATGTGGAAGAACATTTTCTAATGTGGGTTGTGCTTCGGATGTTTTTCAGGTGACCTGGTCAAAGTTACATTGCTAGACTATGAAGAATAAATTGCGTGTACCAATTTGCTACAGCGCCATCCTGAGGTTGACCAGTGCTGCATCTCTAGTTAGTTAAGAATAGCTCAATTGTGGGTGAAGCAGCCAAACAATTTCCCTGAATTTGCATTCGACCGTCTGTTTTTCCTTAACGGACAGCATAATATCATAATCAGTTCATTTTCAGGGACCCCCCAGAATTTTGATTTTGAGACATTCAGGGGGTCCAAGAGGTTTATTAGCGGGTCCTGGACTCCCCAATATTTTGTACCTTGTTCTTAGCTAAATTAGCCTCAAAGCTCCAGTGCAAAACTAAAGAAACAAACTTCATGTCTCAGCAAATCAACCACCTTTGAGGTAAGATTGTGTAAACTGTGTAGGTTCCAGCAACTAACAAACATCTAAACAAGCAGTCCTTTGTAAAAGCTAGTCATGAAGTAAGTACCTTCAAAAGTAACAGTGACCTCACCTGACCACCTTTGCGGTCGCGCCAGGAGACCCAGCGGCCGCCGTCCCGGCTGTACTTTATCCTGTAGCGCTGGGCGAACTCATTGCCCATGCCATCAGCGTGGCGCCCCTGGGTGCCCACCAGTGTGACGAAGTGCAGTGTGCGAAGGTCAATCTGCAGGAACTCCTTCAGACTGTTTGGCTCCGCTACAACGTCTGGGCACCAAGCTCCATCACCGTCGTCGAAGTCCAGCCTTCAATTAGAGATGGACCAGAGGAGTGTTCTGTCTGGTACTGTCCATTTATCAACGTATGTGTGGCTCTGCATTTAACTAATGATGGGCGCCAAATGTTCCCAGGTGAATGAATAACATGACATTTTTCATGTTGTGGGCTCATTTGGCTGCTCTCCATGAGGAAAAATGATCCTTTTATAAAATAAAAGTAAATTTTATTAGAAAAACTAAAAGAGACCAAAGCTGATCACTTGGTTGCTGTGGTGAAGGTTGGAACTGGGGTTAGAGGTGGGTGATATGGAAAAAATATAATATCACGATACTTAGACATTTTCATGATACACGATTAATATCACAATATGTTGTTTTTTCTTTTGATTTCAACTTAAAATGCACAGGTAGTGGCACATTTATTAAATGTTACCAAAAACTATGAACACAATTTTTATCCAATGTTTCATATACACCGATCAGGCATAACATTCTGACCACCTCCTTGTTTCTATGCTCACTGTCCATTTTATCAGCTCCACTTACCATATAGGAGCACTTTGTAGTTCTACAGTTACAGACTGTAGTCCATCTGTTTCTCTGCATACTTTGTTAGCCCCCTTTTACCCTGTTCTTCAGTGGTCAGGACCCCCACAGGACCCCCACAGAGCAGGTACTATTTGGGTGGTGGATCATTCTCAGCACTGCAGTAACACTGACGTGGTGGTGGTGTGTTAGTGTGTGTTGTGCTGCTCTGAGTGGATCAGACACAGCAGTGCTGCTGGAGTTTTTAAACACCTCAGTGTCTCTGCTGGACTGAGAATAGTCCACCAACCAAAAACATCCAGCCAGCAGCGTCCTCTGGGCAGTGTCCTGTGACCACTGATGAAGGACTAGAGGATGACCAACACAAACTGTGCAGCAGCAGATGAGCTATCGTCTCTGACTTTACATCTACAAAGTGGACTGACAAGGTAGGAGTGTCTAATAGAGTGGACAGTGAGTGGACACAGTGTTTAAAAACTCCAGCAGCACTGCTGTGTCTGATCCACTCGTACCAGCACAACACACACTAACACACCAACATCACGTCAGTGTTACTGCAGTGCTGAGAATGTGAGGGTCCATGGGGGTCCTGACCACTGAAGAACAGGGTAAAAGGGGGCTAACAAAGTATGCAGAGAAACAGATGGACTACAGTCTGTAACTGTAGAACTACAAAGTGCTCCTATATGGTAAGTGAAGCTGATAAAATGGACAATGAGCGTAGAAACAAGAGGTGGTCAGAATGTTATTCCTGATCGGTGTATGTAACGTCCTTTTGTTCTTTGTCCTCGTCTTTCTCTGTTTTAGCCTTGGTTTTCTTGTTTTCCTCTGTCATGTGCTTTTGTTTACATCTGACATGCCTTTGTTTTTCAGTCCATGTGCTTTTGTTGTTGTATTTATCTCCTCCCCTGTTTTGTCACATGTTCAGCCCACACCAGTTTCTTGTCCTTAGCTCCGCCCCATCATTGTTCTCAGCTGTCTCTCATTCTGAGTGTTTGTAAATATACCCTTTGTTTCAGTTTTCTCTTTGCTTGGCATTGAATGTTAAACTCAGTGTGCCATGTTTATGGCTATATGTTTGATTTTATATACCTGTTAGCAATGGGAGTGGCTGTAGCATCTGTTTTTACAAACACACCACCACTTATTGCCAAGATAAATGGTTTTAGATAATGTGTTTAGGTTCCCGAATTACTTTGCAGTGCTGTATATTAAAGAAATAGTGTGCTATTTCATTGCAGTATTGTATACAGAGACAGTGTAAGACTGATAATACATCGGTGTGCATTTGTATGTGTACTCACCTGCCATATCTCGCTGCGGTTGACTCTGACCACTGACTGGAGGCAGAAATGTCCTCATCTTGGATCTTGCCGCCAGTCATGCCCAGAGGATACCTGCACACGCCTACCACACACAGAGACATTCAAACAGGGAAAACAGCATAAAACACCCTCTAATGACATACTAGCAGCAGCAGATACAACACTGTCAGTGACGGATGATTCACAGTAACATCACCAGCCTTAAAGTAGTTCTGACAGTGTTTAGCACTCTGACTCAACACAGCGCTGGAGAATTTGCTGCAGGTGATTCTTGTTTTTCCTGGATGAGCCAAAATGACTCCTCATGTGGGCTGCATTAGGATTCCATTCACAAACACTACTTAAAGGGACTGCACAAAAGCCAGAGACCCTTCATTTATTTAACTTCCAGCCAAAACAGGCATTATTAAGATATATTTTAATATATTAGATACAAGATAATTTAGTTGTATTATGAAGGGGAAAGTCAAATAAAAAACAGAAGTTTCCAGAACTGGACTTACAGTTGGCTACAGAGAAAATGGAACTCCTAACAACCACCTGCAAGACCTGGCAGACCACCAAAAAGCTGCAGGTGTTCTCAGAACAATGGACTGACCACCTCAGAGCAGGGAAGGATCAAGGTTTTGTGGGGCTCCTGGGCTCCAGCACTTCCTATGTTGAGGCCTGCTCCAAAGATGCTGGAGGTCAGGAGCCCCAAAAAGGAGGCCTGCTCCAAAGATGCTGGAGGTCAGAAGCCCCAAAAAGGAGGCCTGCTCTTAAGATGCTGGAGCCCCACAAAGCTCTAACAATAACATTAAATAAATAAATAAATGTCCAGAAAGTGGGATTAAACAATAGTTCACGCTTTCATTTATGTGCACTATCAGCTAAGGCAAGTTTTTATCTTTTTTGCTTTGAGGACAAAAAAAATTAGCCTTATTAGTGACCAGTGTGCAATATTCCATTGCGTCTATACTGTAACAGTTTCTGCTTTTTGGGAAAGATTTTTGTACCTACAGATAAAGTCCAATCAACGTTTCTTCTCTGTTTAGGCCAAACTGAGTCATCCTGCAGGACTAGACGCATTCCTTCACACATCGCAGGGCAGAACATTTAATTCGAAGCAACAAAACTGGCAGTGACAATAGAAGAATTGAGGGAAACATGACAACAGATAACGTTTCTTATTTTATTTCATGTATTTAGTCATTTGTACACACTACATTGCTATTTGTTCATCTAATGCTTCTATTTGAGCCCCCCTTAGGCCTTTTGGCCCTGGGCACTGGCCTCAACCGGCCCAGTCAGTAATCCATCCCTGCTCAGACCTCAACATCACTGAATGGGTTTGAGATTGCTTCAATTGTGAGAAGCAGGAAGTGCAACCAACTTCCAAGACTGAACTTTGGAGGTGTGGCTGCAGATTTCTTTGAGAAACTGAAAGCGAGTCTTCTTAAAAGAATGGAAGCTGTAATAAAGTTAAAGTGAGGACTGATACTATAATTAGTTGTTGAGGCTTCTGTGTAATGATAAATGTATGTTTTCTGCTTTTCTCCAGATGCTGAAAAATGAAGACGTTGTACTTTAATGGCCGTTTTGACTGGAAATGAACCCCTTACCAAGGCACAGTCCTGCCAGCAGGCCCAAAGTGTTATTAGACACTTCTACAACCAAAGAAAAGCTCCATTAGTTTGCATTGAAGTCCTTGTAATAACTGAATAATAAGCCTTAGTATGTAATAACCCTGGGACATTAAGGGGTCAAAATAATGAAGGGTGGTCTCTGAATATAGTTAGTCTAGACAGCTAGTCTTTAGTTTTGCACTGGAGCTATGAAGCTAATGTAGCTAACAAGTAATGGAAGCTTATACCCCACCAATTAGCATCATGCAAACTTGCCTTAAGTTGCACTACATTGTAAAGTAATCTTAAGTAGACTTGCTTATGTGGCTTATGAGGCTGTCTGACGTACTGTTACCAATCATAATAGACAACATGATATCATACATTTAAAAACAGACTTAGTAGCCAGCTTAAAGCATGAACTTTGTCCAGAATCTGACTTCAGATGCTAAACATGTCTTGGCTGATGGGCTATATTTGGGCTTGGGGGGCAAACTGTGTAAATCTGATTATTTGCTACTTCTTTAATACGAGAGGTGAAGTAAAATGGGTTGGTTTGTTTTAGCTGTGAAATAAGCTGTAGCTGCTCTCTAGGAGCTTTCAGGATGAAGGTGAATAGGCAGGCTCTGCTGCTTGGATCCACACCCCAAAAGTAAACACCCAAATACCACCCAGCCCCTTCCAGGAGGCCTCTATATGGAGACAGAGGGCCTTTATACACCAGGCAGGGGAGGCCAAGAGAGGTGAGCTTTGGGAGGTGGACTTCTGTAGGTGAAATCAATATTTCAGCTCTGAAAAGATGTTTTCACAGCGTGTTTATAGCCATGTGGGTCTGAATATCAATACATGATGCAATGTACACAACAGTTCAGAAGTTTGAAGACAGTATTTTCAATATTTTGGACACATAGTCGAATATGACATTATCCTTAAGCAGACAGTATTTTCAATACTATGAAACCAATTTGGACAAAACTTTGTATGTCAATTTTGGTCTTTTTCTTTTACATAATTTGAATAATACAGTTTGCCCTTCACATTATATTAACATTTCATGATGAATGGACCAATAGAAATGCTCCAAAATGACCTGGATATTTTCTTCAATAAACTTCTATTCAAAGTTAACATGTTTTCCTTCTCCTGTAAAGCTACTATTTCGAAGATATGAAGTTTAGTCCTGACAGCGATGAAACCAAGTTTATATTATTAGTAAGAAGCTGATTAACAATTATTTCATTAGTGTATAAAGATAAACTGACCTATAAATGACTCTAAAATCGCTGAGAACGTTTTACAGCATTGATAATGAAGTATTTTTGTACTGAATATTTATACCAATTGGCTATAGCATTAAAACCAGCTCCTGGTTTCTACACTCATTGTCCATTTTATCAGCTCCACTGACCATATAGGTGCACTTCGTAGTTCTACAGTTAAAGACTGTAGTCCATCTGTTTCTCTGCATACTTTGTTACCTTGTTATTCAATGGTCAGGACCCCCACAGGACCACCACAGAGCAGGTACTATTTGGGTGGTGGGTCATTCTCAGCACTGCAGTGACACTGATGTGGTGGTGGTGTGTTAGTGTGTGTTGCGCTGGTACGAGTGGATCAGATACAGCAGTGCTGCTGGAGTTTTTAAACACCTCAGTGTCGCTGCTGGACTGAGAACCAAACATATTCAGCCAACAGCGTCCTGTGGGCAGCGTCCTGTGACCACTGAAGGACTAGAGGATGACCAACACAAACGGTGCAGCAGCAGATGTGCTACCGTCTCTGACTTTACATCTACAAGGTGGACTGACAAGGTAGGAGTGTCTAACAGAGTGAAAGAATGACATGGATGTTTTCAGATCTGAAACAGCTTGATTTTCTCCCCTCTCTCAAAGACGCAACCTTTAAGTGCTTTTTATCTGATGAGGACAGATTTGGTGGTCTACCAGGTCTTCCAGGTGGTTGTTAGGAGTCTCATGCTGACTGTGATTGAATGGTAGTGTAATTCTCTGCTGATGGTTGAAGGATCTACTTATATTTGGGTGATGACTCAGAGTCTATCAAGTCAGACTGTCCTAAGAGCAGTAGCTGGAAAAGTCCGAGAGCAGTGAATGAATGAAGAACTCTGTCACCCCACCGGTCCTGTTAGCCTTGGCAGGTTAAACAGACACTAGACTCCCCCAACGCAGCCTCTACACACCAACTCAGAGTGAATGACCTCCCTGTTCTAGTCTCTGGCCCTGAAAACCACTAAAGCATCATCCCACTGAAAAAGCTGCATAGACAAATGGCCCCTTCTAGTCAAAATTCTTCGAAGTTTAAGGACTTTTCCATGCAAATGTAAGCACAGGAGCATATGTTTGGGGAACTAGATCACGTTCCCTCCAAGACATGAGAGCCTCAGGTCACCAGAAGGGTATAAAGCCCCCCAACATAGGCCCATATTGTGGTGATGGAGTATCCGTCCAATACATTTGCGATGAGTTGGAGTGGTCCAGAACATCAGTACCTGACCTCACTAATGCTCTTGTGTATGAATGCAACCAAATCTTCACAGCAATGTTCCAACATCTTGTGTTAAGCCTTCCCTGAAGAGTTGAGGCTGCTGTTGCTGCAAACTCCCTGTTAACACCCTTGATTTCAGAAGAAACGCTGGATGAGCTGCTGTCTACAAACTTTTGGACACATAGTCTAATATGACATTATCCTTAAGCAGCCCCTCTTAAGTTCAGTCAATTTGAACTTAAGTGCCTTTACAGTGGTAGATTTACTAATTAGATTTAATGTTTTCAGCTTTTTTCTCCTTCAAAACGCTTCCTAATCTCATCATACGACTCATAATCTTCTTATCTAGTCTGTACACTCTTGAAAATGGGCCGTTTTCCAGGGTCACCATAAATCGTCTTTCACGCTAGCAAAGCACTGTGTACATTTTTGGTATCACTAATGAATGTGAGACGTGTGAACCGCATTGGCAGCTGGTTTTCGTATGAACTTTAAGGGCCCAAATCATGGAAGAGAGTCTTTTTTCTCCCTTTTTTGAAATGGTATAATATGTAACCATTGTTAAGGTTTTGAAACGTACCACCCCCAGTCACAAAAATGTTGTGATGTCAAAAAAAAACAACACCTGTTTACATATATCCTCTTATTTACCTTACAGCTGTTTAGCTCTGCCGACTAGGTATGAGCAATGTTTCAGCCTGGACTGCGGCGCAATATAGAGCAGCCAATCAGAGGAAAGGTCATTTACATATATGAGGCTTAAAGTGGAATTCCACCAATTTTTCTACATTTTTGAATAATTCCGCCCTTGAGAAGTAAACAAAGTCATTCAGAGTGGTTTGGTGTGAAATGCTTCATTGTACAGAAACTTGCCAACTCAGATGTCTTTACAGTGGTGGTGATGGGAACCAGGGGTCATCATGTCTACAACACAATATATAGCTATTTTATTTACTATCTAGAACCACCAGTGAATCTATCATGCCTGTTAAATTTACATTTTAAGCTAAAACTTTATAACAAAACTATAATAATACAGTGTGTCAGAAATCAGGCAGCTATATCTAACCATTTCATGTAATAACATTCTGTGAGGGAGCTTTTAAAGGCATTAACTCTTTAGACATCTGGTTCCATTCACCAATACTGTGAACAATTCCGACTCAGTAAGTTTCTCTAGAATGGAACATTTCACACCAAACCACTCTGAATGACTTTGTTTACATCTTGACCATTTAATTATGGTCATTTCCCCTTTAATGCTACTGTCGCACAACAGTTGTAGGATGTGGGCCCTGTAATGCAATCTTCCCAGCATAAACGTATCGTGTAGACCAGAGGGGAATCTTCAGAGCTGTCTAGGCCTTTATAGAAAGCGTAATGATTCCTTGAAGCTAAAAATGCATGTCTGTCATTTTTAGTTATTTTTTATTGAATGGAATCAGGTTTGTATTTAAACTCTGCAGGTATTGTAGTAATACTCTGATTTCATTGTTAAGTATCAGTTTGAACCAAAAGGATAAAACTCTTAAAATGCCGAATGGAAAATGATCCAATCAGAATTTTTTCTCACTGTTATCTAGGTTGATACCAAAAAGTGAGCTCTCTCATTGGTCAGGACTTCAGGAGCTGAACTAAAGGCCTAACACAGTTGATTATGTATCATTAAAATCGGGAACTAAGAGTGGAATTAAACAATCCATTTTGATTTACAGTGGGTGGGGCCAATTTCGTGAGGAAAAAAGTCACTTTAGGCCTTCTGGAAGTTCTAGATATATCAGTGACTGTGAATACGAGCTGTAGTCAAACCAGTCAGTTGTTAGAACTGGAAAACAGCGGCAGCTCTAGGTCAGGACTCTTTACTGAAAGAGTCACTGTAAAACTGCTACAAGTTAATGTCTGTTACATGCTTCAAATGTCATGTTTAATCTTAAACAGCCAAAAATGTTCATGTGTTTCCCTGTTAGCTTAGCACTAGCATACTACTATATATAGTACTATAGTAGTGCTAGTAGCAATTAGCATAATCGTAAAGGTGTTTTTTCATCATTTTGACAGAGTTTTTACATTTATGGCCCAAATTAAAGGCTCTAATAGTCACTAATAGTCACAGTTCATCACTATTCCAGACACCTGAAGCGGAAATGTGGTGTTCAAAGACCAAATATTTAAAAGTTTCTTCCTCCAGGCAGGATTACGGAGAACATGTCCTGACCCATAACCTTATACAGCAACTAACATCCAATGAAAAGAAACTGAAATTTTCAAAATTGCAGCATAATTCAATTTCTAAGATGTAAATAAAGTCATTCATTTTTTGGCCTAAAACATTTTTTTGGCCTAAAACATATTTTTAAAACTACATTTATGGTGGAGGGGTGCATGCAGGGAGTTCTAGGGCAAAATAGTCCCCAAAGAAAACTATTATTTTCAGCTTTAGCACCTTTACCATCATTAAAATTAAATATAAAAGCTCAGAAGACTCCTGTAGGTTCACTGGTGGTTTTGGATAGTAAATGAAATGGCTGTATTTGTGTTGTAAACATTGTGACCCCTGGTTTCTATCACCGCCACTGTAAAGAGATCTGAGTCGGTGAACCATTTCACATCAAATCACTTTGAATTTCCACTGACCTATGCAAAAATGGAGGTTCTTAACCTTTTGGCCACGTGAAGACTCATCATGTGTGGCCATGTGTTTAGTTCTCACCTGGATTCACCTGTGACCTCACTGCTCCAGTGAGGAAGAGCAAGAGGATATGCCGCCGTGTCAGGAACATGTTACCTCCGTTTTTTATGCCTGTAAAAACACAATCCAACAAAAAACAAGATCACTAAGAGTTTAAGGCATGTCAATCATCTAACATCGAACACCCTGGCCACTGTATTTGAAACCCTGGCCGTGTAGCTCCACCTTGCTGGTGTACAGTTGAGACTGTAGCTCACCTGTTGATGCATAATTCACATAAGAAATCCTCTAGTCCTTCATCATTTTTGACCACAGAGCTGCTCTTGGGATGGATATTTTTGGGTGGTCATCTATCAGTGACACTGATGTGTGTAGAACTCCAGCAACACCACACACACTACCAGGTTAGTGCCACTGCTGTGGTGAGAATGACCCACTGCCCAGATAGTATTTGGACAACGGTGGTCCTGTGGTCAGAAACTGACCAAGGGTAGAGGGCCGCTGAAAATATGTATATTCTTTTTCGGGAGACTCGCTTTCAGTTTTTCAAAGAAATCTGCCGGGATATTTTTCCACACTTCCAAAATTCAGTCTTAGAAGTTGGTTACATTTCTTGCTTCTCACAGCCCAAGTAATCAAACACATTCAGTGATGTTGAGGTCTGGACTCTGGGGTGGTCAGTCCATCGTTCATCTTCTTTGTTTGATGTGTCCGTCTCCTTTTCTAAGTGAGGTTCTTCTTGACAGCTACACATCCTTTCAGACCCACAGCGCTGAGTCGTCTCCTCACAGTGGAAGGATGGACAGAAACACCTGTGGATGTTTTCAGATCTGAAGCAGCTTGATTTTCTCCTCTCTCTCAAAGATGAAAGCTTTAAGTGCTGCTTATCTGATGGAGGCAGTCTTGGTGTCTACCAGGTCTTCCAGGTGGTTGTTAGGAGGCCCATTTTCTCTGTATCGTTTAATTATTTTTTTAACTAACTTGTACTTGATGTCTGTTTTGATGAGAAATCGAATACATGAATGCTGGTCTTTCACGTTTGTACACTTTTGCATAGTACTGTAAATAGACTTATAATGTAGGAGCTCCGAAAGTGTCCAGCGAACGGAAGTACGAGGTGTTTCTAATAAAATGGAGAATGAGTGGACATAAAAAAGCAGGTCTTGTTACTCGATGTGCAGTTTCTCCTATTAACACTAACAGTACCTAATCTACTGTTACTGACCGTAAAGACACAAAGGCCTTCTTGTAGGTCCATAAGCTCTCAGGTAAGACCACTCTTCCTGAACATACAGCCCACTATGCAGTTGATGTTTATTTATCTTGTAAATGGGGCTCTACGGTATGTCTCCAGTCAGCTGGATGTGGGAGAAAACTACGGTAAAGTCATTCCTGAGGCAAGCGCTGGGCCATTACTCTGCAGAAAAGCTGCCACAGTTGATGACGGGCACAAGCTACGTGCTGGGACAGCAAATCCTACTTCAGGAACACTGCAGCATGTTTCTGTCTTCATGCCACCCAGTGTGTTAGTGCGAAAGCGTCCACTGTGTGCCATGCATTCAGGAAGACGGAGGAGACAAACTACGGGATATGACGCTCTGTTAGTAATGCTGGGACATGCTGTTAATGACTGCATTAAGGTTGCATGCTGATATTGGGATCATATCGGTTTCAGCACGATATTTGATAATAAAAGAGTTATCGGCATCGGACTGATGTTTAGATTTGACAGATATTTGAAAGCAAAAGAAGAATGTTTGGTAGATGTTGGGCTGCTATGCCACAATATCTGCATTTTACTGCGTTTGTAGCTGGAAGTAAATGTTACTAAGTTGGCTAAGTTGGCTTTTTGTTATCTTCTTCACTCTTTTGCATTGTTTACAGAGGTAGGCTTTGGGCTAGAGCCATGAAGCAATCTTAGCAACACCTAACAACCACCTGGGATACTGTAGCAATGGCCTAACAACACCTTAGCAACCACCTGGAATACCATAGCAACAGCCTTGCAACACCTTAGTAACCACCTGGAATAGCATGGCAACAGTCTGGCAACACCTTAGCAACCATATGGGATAATGTAGCAACAATCTAGCAACACCTTAGCAACCACCTGGGATACTATAGTAAGCGCCTTGTAACACCTTAACAACCACCTGTAATACCATAGCAATGGTCTTAGCAACCATCTAGGATAACGTAGCAATGGTCCAGCAACACCTTATCAACCACTTGGGATACCATAACAATAGCCTAGCTACACCTTAGCAAGTGCATAGGGTGCCATGGCAAAAGCCTTAGAAACACCTTAGCAACTGCATAAGATACCACACAGCAATGGCCTAGCAACACAATAGCAACTGCCTAGGATACCATGGCATCTGCCTTAGGAACACCTTAGCAACCACTTGGAATACCAGTGCAACGGTCTTAGCAACCATCTAGGATAAGATAGCAGTGGAGCAGCAACACCTCAGCAACACCTGGGAAACCATAGCAATGGCCAAGCAACATCTTAGCAATCACCTAGGATAACATAGGAATAGCCTTGCAAAACCTCAGCAACCACCTGATACTATAGCAATGGTCTGACAACATGGATACCACAGCAATGGCCTAGCAACACAATAGTAACTGTTGAGGATACCATGCCAACAGCCTTAGGAACACCCAAGCAACCACCTAGAATACCACAACAACTGTCTTGCAACACCTTAGCAACCACCTGGAATATCATAGCAACAGCCTTGCAACACTGTAGCAACCATGTGGGATAACGTAGCAACCCCATGGATACCCCAGCAATGGCCTAGCAACACCTTAGCAACCTGGGATACCATGACTGGGAAATCATGGCAATGGCCTTAGAAACACCTTAGCAACTGCATGGGACACCATATGGCAATGGCCTACCAATACCTTAGCAACCACCTGGAAAACCATAGCAATGGCCTAGCAACACCTTAGCAACCACCTGGGACACCATCGTAAGCGCCTTGCAACACTTTAGCAACCATCTGGAATACCATAGCAACGGCCTTAGCAACCACCTGGAATACCGTAGTAAGCACCTTGCAACACTTCAGCAACTACCTGGAATACGATAGCAATGGCCTAGCTACACCGTAGCTACCACCTTGGATAACATAGCAATGGAGCAGCAACACCTTAGCAACCGCCAGGGGTACCATAGCAATGGCCTAGCAACACCTTAGGAACCGCTTAGGATGACATAGTAACATTCTAACACTTTAGCAACTGCCTGGGAAACCTTAGTGGGATAACTGACTGCTTATTACTACTTTATTAAGCAGTATTTAGGCTGAATAAAGAATTTTCCACAACACTTTTATTTGTCTATTATACATCATAATCTTTAGCACGTCGTTATTTGACATGATGACATGCAGTTGGTGCTTTACTAATACAATCTGATGAGAAAAAATGACGAGAAGCTCAGTTAATAAGCTCAGTTGTTGCAAGATGATGATGTATAACACATACAAATAAGTGTTAACTGTAGTTACTGCTTAATAAAGTAGTAATGATCAGCCAATCAGCAGCTACAGGCTTCATAAGGTAGTTGCCAGCTGTTTTAATAAGAGCATAATAGTGGGCATGATTATGACATATAATACACTAGTTAAAGTGCACTAGAAACTGCTTAAAGGGGAATTCCACCCATTTTTCAAAATCTCAGCATAATTCATTCATCAGAACGCACACAAAGCCATTGAGAGTAGTTTGATGTGAGATGGTGCATTGTACAGAAGCCATGATTTCTTTACAGTGGTGGTGATGGGAACCAGGGGTTGCAATGTCTAAATGTAAATATAGCCATTTTATTGACTCTTTTAAATGTCTGGTTCCCATCACCACCACTGTAAACAATCTGATCAGGTATGTTTCTCTAGAATGGAGCACTCCACATCAAACCATCAGAACACATCTAAATGAGTGAATATTGCAGAAAATTTTGAAAAACTGGTGGTGTTCCCCTTAATAGAGTAGTAATGAGCATTTGCAGCTACTAAAAAGAGCTTTACAAGGGCTTTATAAAGTCCCCCTATATTAAAGTGTACAGTCCAGAGTCCTAAACTGTGCAGTGGACAAACCCACATAAACATCCACACCATTTACATACATTTAATTCCATATTCCGCCCTGTTGGATCATTTATGAAAACCAGTATTGCTTATAATTCATAATTACCATGATGTTCTATATCAACCCAACACAGGTATAAACCTTTCAGCAATGTGGTGAGAATTAATAACACCCACATATTTCCAACTTATGCTCAGTGATAAACTCACCACTCTTAAGCAATAAAGTCCACGAACGCGGCTCCTCAGCGGAACTCCAAAACTGCCCATGAGTGGACGAGCGCAGTCCTCCCCTGCCCAAGCCGGCACTGAGAGCAGAGAGAGAGAGAGAGAAGGGAGGCCAGTAGCCCTTTACCACAGCAGAAATAAACACAGGAGGGGAAAAAAAGAACATTTATAGCCAGCGCCACTACGGGGAAATGCCAACCTGCCCGAAATTCAACCTGGGACACACAAGGATCCAATTAGGAGGCACAGCAGCCATTTACTGGTGTTTCTCTTTCCTTCTTGCTTCCTTTCAAATCTTGCACCTATAAGATTAACACTTTTATAAAGCCAGTTATTTTGCAGCCTGCCCCTCTTTAAGGGGCCAACAATGTGTGCTTTGTTTTTAAAGGCGAATTCCACCGATTTCTCAAAGAATTCTGTATAATTCAGTTGTTGAGACGTAAACAAACTCATTCAGTGTGGTTTGGTGTGAAATGCTCCAGTCTTGAGAAACTTACAGAGTCAGAATTGTTCACAGTGGTGGTGATAGGAACCAGACGTCCAAAGTCGTCCAGTGCCTCTTAAACAGACTTAAAAGAAAGCCATTTCATGAAATGATTATGAATACGCTGCCTGATGACTAAGACACTTTTGTGATAGTTTTGAGGTAAGCTTTGGCCTAAAGACTTTTTTATGCATTCTTGAAGAATTTTAAAAAAATTGGTGGAATTCCCCTTTAGTGTAATAAATGTACAACCCCACATTGACTGGGTTTCCTACACTAGAAAAAAAAGTAAAAGCAACTAAACAGACAGTTTGTGAACAAACTTTTAAGTTGTCTTGACAAAGACAGTTAACAACGTTTTAAAAGTTAAAGCCGTTACAGACTTAATCGGATCTGTACAGTAATTCCAGGTAGTTGCTATGGTGTTACTACAAGGTGTTCCAGCTTGTTGTTAGAGCACTGCTTGGTGGTTATTAGGTGGTTGCTATTGTATGGTATCCCAGGTGGCTGTTAAGTTGTTGTTAGCATGTTGCCATGGTAATCCAGGTGTTTGCTAAGGTGTTGCTAGGCTGTTATGGTATCCCAGGTGGCTGTTAAGGTGTTGTTAGGATGTTGCTATGGTAACTCACGTGTTTGCTAAGGTGTTGCTAGGCTGTTGTTATGGTATCCCAGGTGTTTGCTAAGGTGTTGCTAGGCCGTTGTTATGGTATCCCAGGTGTTTGCTAAGGTGTTGCTAGGCCATTGTTATGGTGTCTCAGGTGTTTGCTAAGGTGTTGCTAGGCCATTGTTATGGTATCCCAGGAGTTTGCTAAGGTGCTGCTAGGCCGTTGTTATGGTATCTGAGGTGTTAGCTAAGGTGTTGCTAGGCCGTTGTTATGGTATCTCAGGTGTTTGCTAAGGTGTTGCCAGGCTGTTGCTGTGTTATCCCAGATAGTTGCCAAGGTGTTGCCAGGCCGTTGTTATGGTATCTCAGTTGTTTACTAAGGTGCTTCTAGGCCGTTGTTACGGTATCTCAGTTGTTTACTAAGGTGTTGCTAGGCTGTTGTTATGGTATCTCAGTTGTTTACTAAGGTGTTGCTAGGCCGTTGTTATGGTGTCTCAGGTGTTTGCTAAGGTGTTGCTAGGCCATTTTTATGGTATCCCAGGAGTTTTCTAAGGTGCTGCTAGGCCGTTGTTATGGTATCTGAGGTGTTAGCTAAGGTATTGCTAGGCCGTTGTTATGGTATCTCAGGTGTTTGCTAAGGTGTTGCCAGGCTGTTGCTGTGTTATCCCAGATAGTTGCCAAGGTGTTGCCAGGCCGTTGTTATGGTATCTCAGTTGTTTACTAAGGTGCTTCTAGGCCGTTGTTACGGTATCTCAGTTGTTTACTAAGGTGTTGCTAGGCTGTTGTTATGGTATCTCAGTTGTTTACTAAGGTGTTGCTAGGCCGTTGTTACGGTATCTTAGGTGTTTGCTAAGGTGTTGCTAGGCCATTGTTATGGTATCTCAGGTGTTTGCTAAGGTGTTGCTAGGCCGTTGTTATGGTATCTCAGGTGTTTGCTAAGGTGCTGCTAGGCCGTTGTTATGGTATCTCAGGTGTTTGCTAAGGTGTTGCCAGGCCGTTGTTATGGTATCACAGGTGTTTGCTAAGGTGCTGCTAGGCCGTTGTTATGGTATCACAGGTGTTTGCTAAGGTGCTGCTAGGCCGTTGTTACGGTATCTCAGGTGTTTACTAAGGTGCTGCTAGGCCTTTGCTGTGCTGTCCCAGGTGGTTGCTAAAGTGTTACTATGCTATCCCTTGTCTTTTTCAAGCCAACTGCTTACCTGCAGTGTCTTACCTTATAGACTGATGCTGTCACACATTTTTTTCATTATTTTGCTTTATGTCATACATGTTCAGCTCCAACACATACACATTAAAAAGCAGGCCAGTTCTGACACATTTCTCTAGAATGGAGCATCAGAATGATTTAATTATGAAGAATTTTGGAAAAATTCTTTTCCTCATATTTTAATTTTATTCTGCTCTGTTATTTGAGCTCCTGGACTGCTGGACAATTCTTATTTTGGAGCTTTAGTGTTTCATTTAGACCAAAAAGATCCCAAGAAAAGAACTAACCTTAGTTCCATACTTGAAAAGATGATTCTTCAAGGCTCGTCATCGAATGAAAAAAGAGGAAGAAACAAAATGGGAAAACCCAATGGGTTAACAGAAGTCATCCGACGCCCACTTCGATGAAAATGACCAGTTTATTCAGAAGCGTACAGATATAACGACTCTATAATAAGTCACGACAGCTGAGAAGCAGAGCATCTGAGACTGAGCAGAGCGACAGACAGCACTATCAGATGTAGAGAACAGCACAGTGAAGCTGACCCAGATTCCAACAGGCCGAGGTGGGTAGTAACTGCTTACAATGACTTACTCTCATGTACTTCAGTGCAATTTCAGATTCATACTTCAGTGAATATTTTCATATTACTTTACTTCTAAATAGCATTTGTGAGGAAAGCAATTATTTTGTCCTCAATTTCATTTGCATAGTTCATTATTTCTTTTTTCAGGTTTCCACAGATTTCACAAAATTTCTGCACAAGTCAATAATTGAGATGTAAACAAGCCATTCAGATGTCTTCACAGTGGTGGTGATAGAAACCAGAGGTTGCAATATCTATAACAGAAATATAGCCATTTAATTTGGTATCCAGAACCACCAGTGAACCTACGTGTCTGAGTTTTTATATGTAATGCTGAAGATGCTAAAATAGTCAAAAATCTGAAAAAATAATATTTCTTTGGGGACTATTTTGCCTCACATCCTACATGTACATCTCCAACAAATACAGATTAAAAAGCAGGCCAATTCTGACACATTTCTCTAGAATGGAGCAGAAGAATTTTTAAAAAATTGGTGGATTTTGAGCTCTTGGACTGCTGGACAGTTGAGCTCCTGGACTCTTATTTTGGAGTTTCAGCATTTAATTTTAGACCAAAAGGATCCCAAAAAGAGATCTAACTAACCTTAGTCCCACATTTGAAAAGATGATTCTTCAAAGGTTCTTTAGTAAAGATAATGGTTCTATATAGAACCATGAACACTCATGCATAAATGGTTCTTTGCATAGTGAACTGATGGAGAATGTGTTGAATATGGTTCTATAAAGCACCAGAAAGGGTTCTTCTACTGTTACAAGCTTGACATTGTAGAAATAGCAGAACCCTTTTTGGTGCTACATAGAACCATTTTCAAAAATATCGCTGCTGTCGGAACAAAACCTTGCATCTCCATTTTTGTTGTTTTTCATTTCTTTGCATAATTTGAAAGTGCCTGTTGTCTTTTACATTGTGAGTAAATTTCATGATGAATGGACCAAAAGAAACACCCCAAAATGACTTGGAAAGACGTCTGGTTCCATTGACTTACATTAAAAGTGGAGTCGTTTTTTTCCTTCTCCTGTAAAGTTCCCATTTTGGACATACGAGGTTTTGTTCCGACAACAGCGATACACAACACATTCCCCATCAATCTGAAGAACCATTTCACCATGCAAACACATATAAGTGTGAAATGGTTCAATATAGAACTCACAGAACCCTTGAAGGACCATCTTTTTAAGAGTGTATGCTGATAGATGATGGATTTACTGAGAAGTACTGCTGGAGTTTTAGGACTTGATAATTTCTTACTCAAGCTGATTTTGGTAGCCCCCTTAAGCTCCTCTACCCACCTCTGCACACGTGCTATAACACACTCTGCTACAGAACAACCCTGACAGAGTTCACAGAGTCAAAGTCGTGCAAATGATACATCTAATCACATTATTAGAGACAGTGTTGATGTCCAAACACTTCACACTTTAGCTTTTGACTTTACAAATAATGGCAAAATGACACAGCTGGTTTAATTAGCTTGCTCTTTTAACAGATCATTTCATCACCTTGGCATCTTTAAGCAACCTGAATATATAGAAAAGAATCCACAAAATGTCGTAGCACCATCTTACACTGCACAACAGAGAAAAAGAACTTGGAAAAATGGTCACGTATTCTGCCCTTCAAGACCAGGCAGACAAAACGCCTCCGAAATAACACAAACATGCTGGAAAATTATGTTACAGGATGAGTTATTGCCAGAGGTGGGTAGGAACTAGCTGCATTAACTCATGTACGTGTACCCAAGTAAATCTTTGACAGATCTGTCGTCTCTAGAATTGTCAAATTCTAATACCTGTACTCAACTAGGCAAAAAGTCTTTTTACTCAGCTACATTTTAGCCATTTGCTTTGTGATTAATCACACCTTTAACTGAAGTTTTTTTTATTTGATTTAAGACTAAGAGTCCATCAAAAAGAGCAGAACAGCTCTAACAAACTTCAGTTCCTATACTGGATGTACAAACTAGAGGTCTGTATGGTCTACTGTTTTTTGGTCCTGCTCCCACCCGCTCCCGCAAGATTTCATCCCGCTCCCGCCTGCTCCCGCAGAAAATTGGAATCATTATTCCCCCTCCCGCCCGCATATTTCCATCAAGGTGAACTAACATCCAATATCTGACACAGTCTATTCATAATAACATTATCCTCTGCTGAAATAACACGGACGTCTTGGTCATCAGGCTGACTGTGAAGTAACTTCACCATTCCCAGTAAACACAAAGCAGGAATTAAACCTCAGAGCAGTTTTCTGGTGTTTTGCTGGGCAGCTGTGGCTGTCGGACTGCAGGCTTCAGCTCTGTAAGCTACGAGAATTTGTGTGCAACTTCATAGAATGACTTTGTTTATTTTTAACTGTTTTACTGTTATCATTTTATATTGTTCATATATATGAATTAGGTATCGTTCTACTTTAGGCTATTCATTCGTTTGCAGGATTTCTCTTTATGTATGCTTCGACCCGCTCCCGCCTGCAGTGGGCTGGTTTCCCGCCCGCTCCCGTGTGCAACACTGAAAATTAGACCCATGCTGTAAGATTAAGTGGCGGGAACTGCAGGAATCCGTAGGATCGCACACATCTAGTACAAACCCTCAATTCCAAAAATGCAAATAAAAACAGAGCAGTTTGTAAACCCACTTTGACCTGTATTTAAACAAAAACAGCACAAAGACAAGATATTGAATTTTTTATCTTGTGTTTTTTGTAAAGATACGCTCATTCTGAGATTAATATCTGTAACAAGTTCTTAAAGAATTTGAGACAGGGGTGACTGAATGGTAGAAAATTTGTGAAATGTACACATCTTAAATGTGTGCAATCATGCTTGGGTATGAAAGAGCATCCAGCAAAGGCAGAGTCCTTTATGAGCAAGGATGAGTCGAGGCTCGCCAGCGAGTAATCAAGCAGCTTAAGAACAATGTTCCTCAACAAATGGTTGCAAGGATTTTAGGATTTTAGATATTTCACCTGTGGCAGTGGAGAGATGGAGCTGCTGTGACCACACCCCCTGATTTAACACAGCTGTGGCTAATGAAGAGAGGAGCACAGACTCCTGAAAATCTGTCTCTCTCTCCAGCGTGAGCATAATCTCACAAATATAGTGAATCCAGAGAAATCTGTGTGCATAAAGGAAAAGGCTGAAAACCACAACTGAATGCCTGTGACCTTAAATCCCTCAGACACACTACATGAAAAATGCATTCTTCTGAGATATCACAGCACTTTGACAAACTGCTGTCAACAAACAGTTCGTCGCTGCATCCACAAATGCAAGTTAAGATTGTACTATGCCCAATGGAAGCCATATGTCATCAGTGCCCAGAAACGCTGCCGACTTCTCTGGGCTCAGGCTCATCAATGGACTAATGTACAGTGGTCTGATGAGGTACCTTTCAGCTTGTAGAACTAATAGACGTTGTGTTCTCCAGCCAAAGAAGGAAAGGACTGTCCAGATTGTTACCAGTGTAAAGTTCAAAAGCCAGGGTATGGCCTGGAGATGTTTGTGAAGCACTATTAACAATGAAAGAGGTATACACATTTTGGAGCAACATAAGCTGCCTTGTAAATGACGTCTTTTTTCAGGGATGCTTATTTTAACATGGCAGCGGTAAGCCACATCTGCACCTGATGAGTTTGGGTGCTGGACTAGCCTGCCTGCAGTCCACATGTCTCTCAGTGAAAATGGGAGGAGCATTATGAAGCACTAAGTATAACAATGAAGGCCCCTGGGTTTTCAAAACCGATCTATTTGTTGTCTTTAGTTGTCAAATGACTATTAATTGTTGTTAAAAGAAAAAAATAACACAGTGGAAAACGCTCCTGTCCCAACTATTTTGGAAGGTGTTTCAGGCATATATACAAAAAAAGTTCATAAGGTAAAACATCAAATATCCTGTCTTGTACTGTTTTCAGTTTAATACAGGTCAACTTGCTAATCCCTTTTGTTGTTATCAGCATTTCACATACTGTCTCAACTTTTGGTACTGGAGCTTGTACCAAGTAGCTGCACTGCAGTTCTAGAACTCCTTTTATACGTCTACTTAAGATGCTTTCTGTACTTTTACTCATAGTTAAGTAAAAGTTTTAGTTAGTCTACCAAAGTAACAATGCTTTTACTTGAGTATACATTCTGGCTAGTTTACCCACCTCTGGTCACTGCCCACTCTCAATTTGAAAATAAATAAGAGTAGACCTTGCTGGTTATTTCGTCTCAGGGGCAACTGGCATGTAGTATAAGAAAACAAGAAGTAGGAGGGAGCTAGAAGATGAAAACACACAACACCTAAAGTAAAGCAATCCAGATATTTCCTGCTCTGCAGTCACTGTTTGTCGCTGTTACAGTGAGAATTTCCTCAGCTCCTGAAAGGGAAGCTACAGCTGGCCTAAGATCAAGTGTAGCGCAGCTTTGATTAATATTAATACTGGGAATCTTCCCCATGGTAGCAAGCTGGCTTAAAATCAAGGTTTTAAATAGCTTTTTTCAGACATGGTGATATTAATTCATTTTCTTTGTAGACCTTTTTAGGGCAGGCTGGACATATTCGGTAAATACAGTACTGTGCAAAAATGAGAGACCATTCTTCAGGTTTTTACCTTCTGGTCAAAATTGCCGTTAAGTTATTTATTTTTCAGCATCAGCGAAAAAAAAACTGTTAAATTGTCATTTACTGTTAAACTATATTTAACAGTAAATGACACAGAAGCATCAATTAACTAACAATATAATGTTTTTCAGTACTTAATGTGTCCACTTTCTCTTAACGATGCAAGCTTTAAGTGCTGTTTATCTGATGGGGACAGTTTTGGTGGTCTACCAGGTCTTCCAGGTGGTTGTTAGGAGTTGTATTTTCTCTGTAGCTTGTAATCATTTGAACTCCAGTTTAGGAAACGTCTGATTTTTTTCACTTCCTCTCTTTTGCCTTGACTCTTCCTCATGTAAGATTATCTTTCATCTAACATCCTCAGAAATTTCTCCTGAACAAATGTTTTATTATTATTAAACATACTTAAATTGACTGGAAATTAAAGTAATGAAGGATGGTCTCTGACTTTTACAAAGCGCTGTATGCTACATTTATCAATCTTTTTTTTTTCAGCCACATCATACAGATGCAGTTTAAGCCAATTAAAGCATAATGTCCAGCGTGCATGTTTACAGTAAAGCGGTATATTTCCAAGAAATCCTGCATTTGTTCACACAGTGCTAGTACAGTAGATATATGGCCATTGTAGATTAGTATATTCATCATTTTGACAGTAGGATTGTAATCATTGACATTTTAAAATAATCATCCATTAGGAAAGTCAGAGCTTGCTCTGTGGTGGCCATTGCATTTTTTGTTGCAGTCTATGATGAACAAGCATGGTGCCTTATGTTCCAAAGATAACAGGAGGGCCACCAGAGTTTATAATGTTCGTCTAGCTTTTTCCTCATCTCTTACTGACCCCAGCTGTCTCGATCATCGCTCTCGTCAGTGTTGGACTCGTAGCCGGACGCGATGCCAGACTCTCTGAACCCAGGGGTCTCCAAAGGACTGAAGAATTGGACTTCTGTGGGAGACCCTTCAGCCAGCTGATCTTCGTCCTGACCCTGGCCCGAGTCTCGGTCCTGCTCTTTTTTCTTCTCCTGCGCTGGAGGCCCTGGGAAGAAGCAGAATGAAGAATCCAGTTTGGCCAGGCCAGGCTCTCGGGGAACCGTGCCCTGTGGAGAGGAAGGCCGGGGCGGGTCGGGCGAAATGTTGGCCCTCAGTGCGATCTCCAGCAGGCTGTCCTGAGATCCCACTGCAGGAGAGAGATCAGTCAGCGATATTCCACAAATTTACATCCATTTACGTTCATTTACATTGCATTATTTAGGTCAGTTTCTGAGCATCTCAATGCGTGAAACAATTTAACCCTCCTTGGTGACTCTTGGCGTATATGCCCTGAAACACCTCCTCTAAAATATTATTTCTGCTAGCTCATTAAAAGAAGCAGAGAAATTCTGTCTCAAGTCTAGATTCTAAGCTTTAATCCATACCACAGTTTTGTTTGTACGTAGAAGTGGAGGTATTTTTCATGATTTGAATTTGATGTTGTGTATACAGACTTGTTTTGAAGAAAAAAAAAACATCTATACAGACTGAAGCAAAATGGATAAAAGTCAGAAATTCAGACTCTAACCTGTTGATACATATTGCAAACTACTATTAGTTACATAATCTAAATGTAATTCATTATGTAACTAGGTGTTATTATAGGGCTGTCAACATTAAAATCGTGTTAACACAATTAGCTAGATTTTTAAACAGCACTAACGGATTTTCCTAGTTTGATCCTTCTAACCATTCATAGTAGTGCAGAAGCTGCAACATGCTGTATGTTGCTATAACAGAATCCATGATTGCAGCCCTCTCATTTAAATACAGTTCTTAAATGGCTTTTAAAGCAATACCTTTGGTAGACTATATGGGAGAGCCATGGATAAATCAACAAGCAGCAAACTAACAAAAGCAACAGTAGAGTGGAAAGCTCCAGTTCCCCTCAAGAGCCTCCACTATAACAAGAATCCACAAGCTGCATGAACAAGAGGCTACAATCACAGAGGAGCTGGAACCACTGACTATATATATATATATATATATATATATATATATATATATATATATATATACATATATATATACATATATATATATATATATATATATATATATATATATATATATATGTATATATACATATATTTGATGTGGATGATATGGCAAAAATATAATTTTGCGACTTCAAGAAATTTTCATGATACACAATATTTCACAATATTTATTTTTTCGGACATCTGATCAGTTGGAACACAGAAAAAAGAACCAGTAGTGCTACATTTTAAAAAAGTACTATCAGAAACTGTGAACACAATGATTTTTATTCAATATTTGGCACTAAATCCAGTTAAATAGGGCTCCAGTTAAATTTTGCTCTCTTTATAATGAAACATGGAGTGGGTCAGTGTTCTACAAGCACTAACTACATATCTATAACATATACATATACACACACACACACACACACACACACACACACACATATATATATATATATATGTATAGTACGTGTATATATATATATACACACACACACACACACTCCTACAGAAAGGAGAGAATCTGATTTCATTCCCTTAGAGCAGAAAGTAAGTCCTGTAATTTGCGACACTATGTTAGAAACCTTGGAGTCTCAGATGAAGCATAAAGACATTTAGGCATTATATTGCAGTCTGAGAGTTCTGGCCTAAGTTTAGTGCCATAAACCAACACTAATTACTGGAATATGGGCCACAACATGTTTCTGTAAGTATTTAGTGCTTTACTACCTTGCAATTACATATGTTGTGTTTCTCCAGTTATCCACACAAAGTTACATTTAGGAATGCAACTGGATGCCAGCTCTGTGATGAAGAAATGAGATCAACAGAAGAAAAGAAGGAGTGGGAGATACAGTACTGTGCAAAAGACCTCAGAGACCGCATTTCATTTATTCAGTTTCCAGTCCAAAGAGCCATTAAGTACAAATCATTCATTTTTTCAGGATATTCAGGAGATTAGATGTAAAATAACCCACTTGTTCTCAGGACAATGCAATGACCACCCCAGAGTCCAGACCTCTTCATCACTGAATGTGTTTGGGATTATTTGGATGAGAAGCAGAAAATGTAACCAACCAAGATTGAACTTTCAAGGTGTGGCAAATCTCCCTGCAGATTTCTTTATAAAACTGAAAGAGAGTCTCCTGAAAAGAATGGAAGCTGTCTGCAGTGATAGCAAAGGAGGGTAAAATTCAGCTCCTCACTGCTGGGCTTTAGTTACATTTAGGGCATCATATGCTTTCAAAGAAGGGGATAAGACAAATATTTATTATCGCCCACCACTAATTCTTCAGTGATATGAAGCTGAAGTCAGATATTCGCCAGCTTATCGTTCCAATTATTTAGTCCCACCTTAAATGGTGCAGCTGGACTATTTAAGGTGGAACCAGAAGTTTAGCTGCCAAGCTACTGAGATATCAGCACACTTCTAGTGATTTTTTATGCTTATTATGAGGAAAAGGACCATAATACATTGAAACAACATTAAACTAAGACAATACAGTGGTTATCGTAATTTAACAGAGAATTCTTTGGTCTCTTGTTCAGCCATCTTGCTGTTTTTTTTCTCATAACCTCTGTTTGAACTGTGCCTCTGAAAAACCTCAGTTTGGAGGGCCATGTAGTCCTAACACTTCACCCAACCCCTCCATCTCAACAACAATTGGGACACCCTATCCCTACACATCAAAACGGGCTAAGTGGTAGGGGCAAGGGGTGAAATGGGATTGGGCCTAAAAATGAAAATACTGAAAATGAAATGAAATACTGAAAAAAATTATATTTTATTTACTTGTTCAGGTATTTGTCTAACTTCTCTGTCTATTATATGTTTTCTCTTCTTTTCTTCTGACACTGAAAAACTAATAACTTGTACTTAATGACTGTTTTGACTGGAAATGAAATAAATAAAGGGTGGCTCTGACTGATCAGTACTGTATACTGGCAGAAAAGTGAATACCAGTATATTCTTGTATTGGTGTGTGTTGTGTATATGGATTTACTATACTATACCTACTGTGATTAGTCCAAAAATGGTGAACAACTAACAGTCCTGTCCTCAAGACAAATTGAACATGAAATGATTATTATCATTATTATTGTACTACTATTGTATCTTTTATGTATGATCAGTTTTTTGGTGTGGTATTTTGGTATTGTTTTGTCATAACCTTATTGAATACAGACTGACAATACTGTGATATAAAGCTGAATTCATATTTCTCTGCTCTAAAGGAAGCTGAGAAAACAAGAGAGCTCACTGGAGGAGGTGGAGTGAGTGCGGAGCTCCAGCTCTTGGATGTGTTTGACCAGCAGGGAGAGATGCTGCAGGAGCTCGCTGTTCTGCTGCAGGAGCTGCTCCACCCGAGCCTGCGCCTCCGCCCTCGCCCGCGACTCCACACTGAGCTGCTGCTGGAGCAGCACTGCCTGATAACAGACATAAAGCAACCATGCAGAAAGGCCATCAACAACATTTAAAATCCTTTTATCCAATACTAATATATACACTGTGGATCAATACAGAATAAACCAGACGCACATTAATATTTTAGATGCCTTTTTCAATATTTCACATTTTCATTAAAGGGGAATTCCACTAATCTTTCAAAATTTCTGCATAATTACATTGTTCAGAGGTAAATAAAGTCATTCAGAGTGGTTCGATGTGAAATGCATGTTGCTGACTGAGGCGTTGTTTTTACGATACTTTTGAGATCAGATTTTTACCTAAAACTTTTTTTATAATCCGAGAGGTACATGCAGGGTGTTGTAAGGCAAAATAGTCCCCAGATAAAACTTGTTTTCTTTCAGATTTTCCAGGATTTTACCATCATCAACATTACATCTAAAACTCTACTGGTACTGGTGGTTTTGGATAAATAAATTGGCTATATTTGTGGTGTAGACACTGGAACCCAGGTCCCTGAAACATTCCTGTAGAGAAATCTCTACAATTCTCTACAATGAACCATTTCACATTAAACTACTCTGACTCTTTGTTTACGTCTCAACAATTAAATTATGCAGAAAGTTCGAAAGATGGTGGAATTCCCCTTTTAATGATAAACGATATACTGCATACTGCAATATACAATCTATTTATAGTCATTTATCAAGTTTTGATCATTGCTTTTGAAATATGAAGCATAATTATATTTATTTATATATTATATATATATATATATATATAGAGAGAGAGAGAGAGAGAGAGAGAGATTTTTTTTTTGTGAAAGTGAAAATAAGAGAACACATCCTCCACATAAAAAACACAATTAAATATGGTACTTTTCTGTTTTATTTATTTGCTGCATTTAACATATTGGTAAAAATATCAAATAACAAATATTAAATGTCCTGTAACTTTTGCACAGGCCACATTTCCTGTTGTAACTAATCAGTAACTGTGCACTAAATTGTGTTCTCTGTAGAGGATGTGTTAACTGTCAATTTTCACCTAGAAAACCAAGAAAATGTCATTTGACTGGGGCACCCTGAACTGTTTTGTTTTACTGAAAACAGTGATTTTTAATTCTGGATGGTGATTCCAAACTTTTGAATGTCTAAATCAGTGCAGCTTTTTGGATCCATCAGTCAGTCCAAAAGCTACAACAGGACCTCAAGAACAGGGACAAGCAGTAGATAAAGAAAGGCTTAAATGCCACGTCAGAGCGTATCTGTATAAATGGTGGTCCTGCCTGTGCTGACGCGGCCTGGTTCTTCTGCTCCTGCTGCTGGAGCTGTCTCTGCAGCAGCTGAACCTGATGGCTCACGGTCAGGGGCTCAGACAGAGGAGACGCCAGTCTGGACGGCTCTATTTCTAACACAGGGTCTTCAGGGACGACCTGGAGATGACAAGAGACGAGTAAGTGTTCTGCCCTTTGAACGCCATAGGAGAACAGCAGCTAATAATGTGAAAATGGAGTTTTTCCTCTTGCAAAACAAGACATATTCAGATCATAATAAAATATTTCTTCTAATTACAAACACGAATATGGATTGAAATTGAAAAATCAAACCATCTTGGGAGCCACAACATTTCATGTCCATTTTATTGAAACAACATTTCACCATGTTGGCTGTAAACATGTCTCTGTATGCGCTAATGTACAAGTATAGGCTAAAAGTACAATATAAACAAAAACACTTGCTCTGCTTTAAGCTTTAGCTCAGCTATAGCTGCTTTTCTCACATCTCTAGCAGGAAACATAGAATAGATTCTAGTAATTTGTCTCTTAATGTTTGACTTTTTAAGTCAGCTCCTCATTCGCCAGCTGCTTGTTCGAATCTTCCCCTTCCACCTTAAATGAATGTAGAATGTAGCTATATATATCAATGCAGCCCTTCTGCTTCCATTCTCAGCGCTTCTCCAGAGCTGCCTACCAAGACGAGCCTGGTTTGCATGCAAAGCCGTGGCTCATCCGGGGCCATATGGGCGCCGTTGACCCGCGAGCGAGTGTTTGTCAGTGAAAAATTTTAAGGCTTTCAAATGCAGCCATGCATGTTAAAATGTTGCAGTAAATGGACCTTATCTTTCATATGTTCATAGTATGACAGACTTCACTCCAAAATGTGTGTTCTTTTTTTTCGGTCTACTTATTACCTCTATTTTTTGGGTGGGGCCTGGATGACACAGAGTGATGAAATTCCAACATGTTTTGATCATTATTAAAGTTCAGCTTCTTGGGATTCCACAGATTTGTGCAGATTATGTGAAAATTCAGGGACTAGTTCGTGCTCAAAAATTTTTGTGATTTTGCATAATGTGCAAATTATCTTGAAATGTATTGAGATTTTTAAAATGGGTAAAATAGCTGATTTGTGGGCCATGACATACCCCATCAGGAGAAGAAAAAATTTTGTCTGTATGACATACAGTACAGAATCACCAGCCCTTAATGTACGAAGCTTTGCTATAGCGCCACCATCAGGCCAATTGGGCTGAGCTTGAGCGCCTGAGTAGCGGGAGTGATTACTACCTATTGACCAAGTTTCATGTCTGTACGACTTATGGTTTGGACTGCACAATTCGTTTTAGCGGAGAAGAAGAAGAAGAAAAATCATTTACAATACAATTACAATAGGGTTCCAGCACTTTGTGCTTGGACCCCTAATAATAATAGTGAAGCATGCAGAAGCAACGTCGTTTTCTTTGCGAATGTGGCTCAGTATCTGTGTCTGTTCCAGGGCAGGGAAATCACAGACTTTTCTACTCTGACAAACATTACAAAAAAATGAAAGCCTCATCGTGAAGTCTCTTTCAGACTCCTTGAAACCTCAACAGCTCAGCTACAAGGAGGCGGTGACAGGGAGTCTGTGGGGATGTTTCTTATATTTTATTCATTATAGACTTGCTGGAATGATAAACATGCAAAATGTATGTCGTAGAATGTATTATTCATCACTTTCTGGCGGAAGAGAGATTTAAAACATTTGCTTGTGGTGTTTTTTGTTTTTCAGGAGGACTTGACTGATACTGCTTATAAGTCTGAGCAGCATGAACCTGCCACGGAAAGGCTAGATCATCCAGGTCTACTTATACTGGACACATCTTTGAAACATTATGCCTGAGCCATGATTTTAAAGCCTGCCATGCACAAAACAAACATGAATAAATAAAAAAATGCAGCTAATTATTATTGTTTTCTATTTCTGTCTATCCTTACATAAGGGTCTAGTACACGTGGGAGGCTGCATAAAACGGAGTCACACACTCACTCAAAACTCATGGGATGTCTACAATATGTTCCTTCATAACAGCAGAGAAGTGAGGAATCCAAGCAGACATGAACATGTTTTTGCTATTGATCCCACTGCCGAGAGCTATAAGAAAGGATTAAACACAGATTATAAATTCCTTGTTTAGGCTCTGATTTAAAGGAGTACGGTCACATTATGTGTTATGTGTTCATAACTTGTAGTTCTGTTCTTTGATGATACACTGATGATACACTGTTGCATTTTAGTTCTGGTTTGCTTAGCGTTCAAACGAACATATCGTTGTTGGTGAAACAAAACCTTGCATCTCCAAAATGGTAACTTTACAGGAGAAGGAAAAAACATACTTTACTTTTAATGTAAGTCAATGGAACCAGACTTTTTTATAAGTAATTATGGACCATTTCTTTTGGTCCATTCATCATGAAATTTACACACAGTTCAAAAGACAACAGGCATTTTCAAATTCTGTCAAAAACTGAAAAACGGCAAAAATGGAGATAGGAGGTTTTGTTCTGACAGCTGCGATATGCAACATCGAACCGAAAGTCATACGAGTAGAAGGTCACAACGGATTGGGCGAATTTTATGACGTATAATAACCGTGATAATGTCCATCGAACGTTTTGAATTATGCTGTTTTCTGTTCTATCTGGGTTCGCTGGTTTTATTTATGTTTTATGATATTAGAGCAATAAGCCATGAGACTCCCTGCATTACTGCGGTTTTGCATGATGCAAAGCAGGATCAAATCCCTCAAACAGCCTCAAGTGTCTTACTGCTTTTACAAAATGGAGAAACCTCTGTGCCTCAATACATGGTAGAATTTATGTATGCAGTCAAATGTGTATATCGAGTATCAAATGTTTCCCAGCCTCATTTTAAAACAGAAATTTGTTATATACTGTATATCCGTTCTATAGTTACCAATTCAGAGCTTACGAAGAGATGACGGAACACATGCACGTGTCAAAACAACATCAGAAACTCGTCTTTTTCACGAATCAAGGAAGTTCTGCCGGGAGAAGAAGACGCTTCATTCGGTCTTTGGTCTGTTTGGACATCTTTGTTCTGTTCTGCATTCATTTCTCAAACGAACCGCACCAGAGTTTGTTTTAAAGTGAACCGAGACCAACTTGCTCAGGGTGTCTTGATCTAATGAACCACAATAACAGAGCAATCGCACCAGCAACCGAACCAAACCTGCGAAGTCTAAGCGCACACTTAATAGCAGCATCATACCAGACAGTCTTGACCATCAAACCCATTTCAGAAAAAAGAGGACGGTGCTATTGGTCAGCGTCTGAATGCAAAGTCAATTTACCTCAGTATCATTCAGGTAAATTCTTAGTATATTTCAGGTAACTTTGCTGAGCACAGACTAACATTTTGTTAATTTTTCAAGCGAGCACTCTTTTTAGCAGCTAATGCATATTTAGGCCCAATCCCATTTCACCCCTCGCCCCTACCACTTAGCCCTTACCCCTCCGTTTTGCGTGTACACTTCTAGAGGTAGGGTGTCCTGAATTTTGTTGAGATAGAGGGGTTGGGTGAAGTGTTTGGGCTACATGGTCCTCCAACTGGAGGTTTTTCAGAGGCTCACTCCAAACAGAGTGATATGAGAAAAACAGAAAAACTGGCAAGATGGCTGAGCAAGAGACCAAAGAAACACACAAATGTGAGAATTTTCCCTGTAAAAAATTACGATAACCATTATATTATCTTAGTTTAATGTAGTTTCATGGTATTATGTTTTTTTTCTTCATAACAAGAATAAAAAATCGCTAGTAGTTTGCTGATGTCTCGGTAGCTAGCTAGCTAAATTTCCTGTTCCACCTTAAATGGTGCAGCACTTACATCCTGGCGCCTCAGGCTTCAGAAGCTGGTGAATACCTGACTTCAGCTTCACATCACTGAAGAATTAGGGGTGGGTGATAATTAAACCCCCCCCTCTTTGAAAACATATGATGCCCTAAATGTAACTGAAGCCCAGCAGTGAGGAGCTGAACTTTACCCTCCTCTGCTATCACTGCAGACTGGCAGCGTCGCCTACAGAGCAGCGCTAGTAGCCTGTTAATGAAGTAATGCTCTTTTTATTTGAGTTTGTCCCATTTCGGGCCTTAGCGGTGCTACCACTGTTATTACAGACAGCCTACCTTCGCTCAGGTTTTCTGTGGTGGTCATGTTTCTGTGGTGTCCACATAAAGACTGACCTCTGGATTTCATGCCGGTTCAATAAGTCTAAATCTTTGACATCATCAAGTGTTTTGAATGTATGTGTACTGCACATGTATTAATGCACTTTGCCCTCCTCTTTGATAGCACACCTATTGAATCAGTTTCACTGCTAGTGTTAATATAAAATAAACAAACACAAACAGTGCAAAAACTGAGGCAACGTTTTTCCAAGGTAGCACGTAGACATATGAACGCTCACAGAAATGCATATACCTAATACAGTTGCACAATACCTTTGCATCCTTCTTCTGGACTGACTCCTCTGTGCTGATATCAGAGGGTGGAGTCTGCTCCTCCTCACGTCTTTCCTCCTCTCCCTTCACTAACCAAGCTGCTAATGCAAATGAATCAAACAGGCTTAAAAGGCAACTTCACTGTAAATAACATGTATTATTCTGTAAACTGGCAGCAGTATGCTCACAGGAAATTACGGCCTTCAAATTTAAGATATTAAACAAGTTAAATGAGGTTACATCAAATGTACTTGACGTTCCAAATTAAAGCAAATTTTTAACCTCACAAAAATTAAACGTTATATTTCAGCATAACGCTCATCCAGGTGGATTTTGTGACAATTTCTACAGTTTATACATGTTTATGTATCTGCTACAGCAGATATTTACAAGAAAAATTACAGTATCAGCATCTGACCACAGTTGCCATCGTGGTGCATCCCCAGAAGAACCACAAAATATTTTTATAGAATCAAGGCTGGTTAGTCATAATCAAACCCAGTAGCCAAAAGGAACAGAAATTAGCTCGACTTGACGAGTTACATGACGGAAATGCATTCATGGGATGCATTTTGGTGGGCCACACTACTGAGATTCCTCTTGCATACACATCACCATCATTTTCATGGTCAAACAAAAGAGCTGTAGATGTCTAATTGTGTTGTTGAAGTCCTCTACTGCATAGAACTCCAGCCCTGTGGCCTGTGGAGACATATTTAATTCTTTTTTTTGGTCTGCTAATGACCAGAGCTCTCACTGACAGTCTTAGTAGAGAGGGTGGGGTAAGAAGTGCACCCTTGTGTGGTAGTCGAGAGCTCCACAATGGCTGCTGCAGAGCTCAGTACAGTGAGACCATATATATGTTTGACTTTGTAAGCTTGTTTATGCTAAAAGAGCAGATACAGTCACAAAATCATGAGCGTGACCTGCAAAGCACGTCATTACACAGACACCTTGCAGAGACCCTGTAATTCGCTTTGAAAGAAACATTTGTTTAGGTGTTAGCCCCGCAAGCCTAGTAACAGGGATTTGCCTGATACACAAGCATCAAGCTAATGGTGGTGAATATTAACATTTCATAGCTGCTCTCTTCCTTGAAGCTCATTAGACATATTCTTTACAGTTTGGATGTTGAATTCATCAGTGATTTTAAGCCTGTCTGTGAATATTACTGGAGTCTAAACAAACTAAATGCCCAACTTGCTGTAGTGAGGACAGAGTATGATCTAATACACCCAGCCTGTTAACATCAGTGAAGTAGTGTCTACTCAATCAGTCACTAACACAGTAATATAGTGTTAGCAATGTGACATTACATCACTGTTTTAGACTGTCCTGTCCATCAGAGACAGAGAAACAGCAGCTGTGATGGTGAAAGTATGAGGGCTGGGAGAATGGGCATGTTTGTTTGAGTAGGGGGGAGAAAGTTTGCTTGATGTGATGCAGAAACGAGAAGCAAACTCTGCAGAATCACATGCCAAATATGCCAAAATGACAGAGACATCACATTGCACTTTTTCTTGCATGGTAGATACAACAACCAGTACTGTGCATGTGACTTGGCAGTTTTGTTTACTTGTCTTCTTTAAGTTTTCCCTTTATCCTAAGTGAGCCGTGAAAAAGTCTTCGGGGAAATGTGTGTAAATAGAAAAAAAATCTATATTTTAATACCAGCGAATATATTCATAACCATTCTGTGTAGTAACCTTCTGTGAGGGAGCTTTTAGAGTTGGACACCTGGTTCCTATCACCAACACTGTAAACTCTACCTTGGTAAGTTTCTCTAGAACAGAGCATTTCACACCAAAGCACTCTGAATTATTTTTGACATGTTAACCATTTAATTATGCAGAAATTTTAGTTCCCCTTTAAGACGTTTTAAGCAAGTGGCCCAGCACATTTTCGACTTCTACTTGTTGATGAGCTGATTAGTTGGATTAGAGCAGGGAAAACACAAGACACGTGTTCTCTGTAACATCCTTTCTTGCCCTGTTCTCTGTTTTAACCTTTATTTTTTTGCTACATGTGCTTTTGTTTATGTCAGCCATGTGCCTTTGTCATTGCTTTGGTCTTTGTCTTCTCCCTAGTCCTGCCTTCTTGTTATCTGTTTCACCTGTATGTTGTCTGTAGCCCTGCTCTCTCATTAGTCCCAGGTGTTTCTGGTCTGTTTGCATCTTCCCTCTTTGTCTCTCACAACGTTACATTCTCCATGAACCTTCACAGTGAAGAAACATGAATCGATTAAACCGCTAAGTGTGCACTCACCATCGACAGAATCCAGGCTTTGTTTATGGCAAACCTCAAACGCCTGGCCGATCGTCCGCACTATCCTCATAGCCTGACTCTGGCACATAAAACAAAAGGAAAAGCATGAATATTTATGAGCAACAACAGCTAATACAAATGCATCAAGCAGGGGTAATCAAGGTTTCTGTTAAAAACTATTATTACTGAAAAGTGAATTAGTCGATGATCTAAAATTATCATAAGGGAATTGAAGTGAAGACAGAGAGAGAGAGAGAGAGAGAGTGTGAATTACATTTGTGAGTCCTTTCTACAATAACAGTGCTGTCACTGTGATGGATTAGTTCATTTCAGAGCAGATGGGCTTTGGTGCTCTGAATCAACGTCCATTACCAAACAGACTCTTACAGACCACAGGATACCAACAGCATGATCAGGATGTTTCTTTGTCCTGAGCATCAGTTGTCCCACAACATTATATCAGCGAAATCACTCAGGTGCCATATAATTAATGAGCATGTCTTTTTTTAAAAGTGCCAAAAAGTACACACATTTAATATCAAAAGCAAAGTAGAAAATAAAACATAAATTAATATAAATTTACAAAATATCTAAAAATATTTTATAATTGAGCAAGAAAAATTGCTCAATTTCTCAAAACTACAGAAGACAGAACCACTTTAGCCTTTGACTGTACATACATGACATACACAGAGGTGCAAAAATCAATAGAGCCTTTGGCACGGTCAATAAAAAGGAGATTAAACCAACCTCTACCAAACTCATTAGTATCCCAATCCAATCAGTCACCACTGCCAGCCTGTTCCATATCCATACAAAATGACTGGGAAACCCCTTTCAGCTGATTTTGTATGGATGAACCCATCAACACCACATTTCAGTTACAGATCTAAACAAAAAAAGGGTGCCAACTGACCTTTCTCTTGGATTTGAAGACGTTGCAGCGGAACACATTATTCTTCTTATCTCTTGCGATATAACTGAATATTTTCAGGTCTTGGGAATCATGGGAAACGTAGAATATTCTGTAAGGAAGAAAATATATTACATCAGCACAATGCTAAATGAAACAGAGCACCATTGACCATGAAATATGGTGACATGTCTACTGAATGATTGGCTATTAAGTGACTTAGAATGTGTACTTGGGCTTCTAGCCTGACTAACAATAAATCATCCACTCTGGGAAGAGAATAAAATGAAGGCGTCTATATACAAAGCAGAAAACGAGACATCTATATATGTGTGTATGTATGTATATATATATATATATATATATATATATATATTTATTACTGTTACCCTTTACATTGTATGTAAATTTAATGATGAATAGAAGAAGTGAAATGACCCAAAATGACTTGGAAAAAAATCTGGTTCCATTGACTTACATTAAAAGTAAAGCATGTTTTTTCCGTCTCCTGTAAAGTTTTCATCTTGGAGATATGAGGTATATATACATATATATACATATAAATATGGCCACAACACAGAAACACAACTTGAAGGGCTTTTTTGATATATACACATAAATTAAAGATATGACTGTACAACTGTACATTATCTTCTCCATCTGTCTAATGTTAGTTGTTGCTAAGGGAGACTGATTTCTGAGATAGATTAGACATTGTATCTTTTGTGCGCCTTATCAATATGGTTTACGAGTCTTATCACAGGTCTAGCTTGCCACACTCCAAAACTGCTTAAATCCGTTATGCCTCAATTATGAACCACACACAAAAAAATTCATCATTAAAAAAGGCATAATTAAAAGAAATATATAAAAAAATGTGTTGCATTTTGTTGCCATAGAGCAACTAGGGATGCACAATAATATAAACCGACTGGCCACTTTATTAAGTACACCTCCTTGTCCTTGTCATCTACCGTCCATTTTATCAGCTCCACTGACCATCTAGGAGCACTTTGTATTCCTACAATTACAAACTGTAGTCCATCTGTTTCTCTGCATAAATATTTAGCCCCCTTTGAGGCCTATATGACTTATTAGGCCTTAATTCAATATTAGTGCATAATAAATTCTGTGATCCTTTAAAACTTCAAGATGTTTACACTCAATGACCATCTAAGCAGCTGACTGAGGATCTGAAACTAAGGATAATGTAATCTTACAAAGCAAGAGACGACAATAAAAGACATCTAAACATCTCCTGCTTATAGTTTTCACTGCTGAAATGTCATTATGAAATGGATGAAGAGAACTGCTGCAGTCAATACAAGATCTGCAATGCAAAACCCCCAAATCACTGCCAAAGACCTTCAGGCACCATGCTCCACGCCGTACTGAGGAGCCAAATCTTCTACATACTGCTCCATTGTGCAGTGTTGTTGAACAAAGATTTGAGATCTACATGGAAGGGTCATTAGAAGTAACCTCAACTGTGATCTTATCACTAAAGTCAACATCTGAATTACGCAAGACAACATCTAGATAAGCCAGAGGCAGCCAGAAACAGTCAATTTGGCAACATATTCTGGGGTCTGATGAAGCAAAAATGAACTGTTTGGCCACCAGAAGGTATGTTTGGAGAAAAAAAGAGCAGCATTTGATCAAAAGAACACCTTGCCAACTGTCAAGCTTGAGGGTGGATCTATTATGCTTATAGCACAGGAAATGTAGTGGAGAAAGAGAGGGGAAAAGATTCTACTAAACATCAACAAATCCTAAATGTCCCACCCTCAGTGAAGAAACTTAAGATGAAAAAATGCTGGATTTTAAAACAAGACAATGATCCAAAACACACCTCAAAATCCACCATGAACTACTTTCAGAAACAAAAGATGAAGCTTTTAGAATGGCCCTCACTATGTCCAGACTTGAATAATATGTGTCGCTGAATATTAGCTGGTGTTGACTGTTTGACTTAAAAAATACACCAATGTGTAATTTGACAATGAGTGTCCACACTTTTGCATACCACTTTAATCAACCATAAACCTTCAGTTTCCCAAAATAATAAAAAAACCTTTACATGGTAGTCGGGCAAAAATATTAAAAATATATAAAAAGAAAGCTATTGCTGCCAAACAACAATGCCATGCAGTAAAGGGCTAAGATCTGATTTAAGAAGGTCTGGTTAAGCACTGAGTTGATATTCAGTCTCAGAACTGGGCCGATATCAGTAGAAAATGCTGGATTGGATAGCAGATGAAAAAAAGAAAGAATCTGACACAGTTCTGTAACAAATCTGCGCTGAAATATCACAAATTACTCACAGTTGCAATGTAAACACTTGGCACAACCATTCTGAGATTTTGTCCTTTTATTCCTTTGTTTTTAAGTGTAAATAAAAATCGAATTCGATCAAATTGAACCCAAGTAGACAGGTTGTCTCAGAATCTGTCTGCAAGGTTGTAACTGTCCAAAGTCATAGTAAATTATTGATTAGCCAGCATTATCAGTAAAGTACTTCTTACCTGTAAATGGGGTCTTGGGCCAGTGTTACCTGACCTTCATCCCAGCTGTATGCATTTTTCTGCAAACATTCAGCATTAAAATGAGTTAGCAATTAAATAAAAACATATTCTTACTTTTCTTTGAGACAGTAAGGTATGGGAATACAAAGGCTTGTACCTTTTTCTTTTTCCGCAACACCACTTTGACCCCATCCACTGCTATGACAAGGCTGACTTTGGTCTTCTTGATGTTTTTCACCTTAAACTCATACTGGAAATGAGAAAAACATTGAAATATTGAACGCTGAACAAGGTTTACACATCCTTACACTGCACATTGCAGATGCACCAAACTACAGCTGCTATCACTGCTGCTAGAGGACTAGACTAGAAGACAAGACTTCAAACAGAAAAATAAAGATGACATGTACCCATAAGACTCAGTGTGGCTTTTGGGAGACGTGCTGACCGCACTAGAAGACACGAACTCTCTCGTAATCAAAGAACAAGAAATAAACAAGAAATCCACAAATGGAAGAGAGAGATCACAACACGGCAGTTCGTTGAGCCTGAGGTGGCTTGAGGGGACTCGGCAGCTCAGCCGCTTTCATCTCTGTCGCTGATTAACATTAATGTCCCCCACTAGCTTTCGGCAAGAGCGGCCAAAGCAACGTCTCCCCCCAAGTGCTTCAAATCACATAGAAGCAAAGCCAAAGGACAAAATACAGGGTCAATTTTCTCCAAAAAGGACATGCTTTTTGTTTTTTGCCATCCTGTCAAGTGAAGCAGCATCACAGTTTATTATTTATTTGCAGCATCTCTGAAACGACTCTCTCCATATTCCTCAAATGTGATAAAACCAGACATGCCTGTTATGAAGTAGGAGAGCGCTTGGTCTCGGAGCGAAACTGGTGCAATGCTGCTGTCATAAATCTAAACCTGAGCCCTGGAGCAAGTCCAAAGATGAAGGCCTTGTTTAGCAGCGCCACTGAAAGAAAAGCTCTGCGCTGGAGGATGTGTTCTTCAAGATCTGCTCCCGTGGTGATAAAAGAACTGCAAAGAATTATGGATTAAATAAGTGATCAAGGAACCCGTCGTCTTCTCCGCGGAGTGTTTCAGAAGAACCTGACAAGGAGAAGAGAACGTTTTCCAGTGGATGGACATGAAAACAGTGGACCAGCTACACATTTTAGAGACGTATATACTGCACAGAAATCCATCACAATAATCGTATTACCCTGGAGGGCTTCCCCCCCCCACAAGTTACCCCTATTATTTGATGTGTCAGAGAGCAATGCATGTATTACTGTGTAAAATGGTGAAAATGTCAAATCATTCATTTGAAGTTGATCAGTATTATCATAACGGGTGTGACCATTTCAATGTATATCAAAAACAAAATTAAAACAGTTCACTATCTTTAATGGAAACCACTGCTGGTCATCAAAACTAGGCATCCCATCAGAGTAAAGGGGTAAGGAGGGGGCGGGGCTTATATTATGGTTATAGTATTTGGGGTTTATTTGTCAGTGGGTGGCACAGCAGGTACTGAAAAAGTTCTATTTGTACATAATTAGAATAAGACCCTTTTATTATACAATTACAAAAAATAGAGTTGAATCCTGACCTCAGAAATGAAAAGAATATTTATTTATTTATTAAAAAATGTGCATCGTCAGTGTGCATGTATATAAGCTGTGTGCATGATGCAAACATTAAAATATTACACTGTGAAATTAACCCGAGACACCCATCGTTTTTGCTGTATTGAAAAATGTATCACTTTAAGACGCCACTGTATCGTATCAAATAGAGTTTTGATATATCGTTACATCCCTAACTAGAATGCATTGCATTGTGGTGGTGTTTTAAAAGGACAAGCACATAGAAACTTCCCAAAAACACATAACAACACAAGTCTGTTGCACCTTGCACCTTACAGGCCTTGTGTATGATCCTTCCACCGCTTATGCATGTTTATCTTAATCATTTTAACACAATTCTATTTGTTTTTAGCCAGGATTATCCCTAATTCAGCAACAGCTCAGGATTATTTTTTTTTATCTGATATTGATTTGGATGCTATAGCAATGAATTCTTCAGGATTCACCCTACTATGTGTAAAATAAGCACTAGGAACAAGAAACTAGCTGAACACTTACTAGTTAAAACTCTTTATTTTTAGATCTTCTTCAGGCTACTCCAGTCCTTTAAGGGCGTGTTTATACTTGTAGTTCGGTTCCCTTGGTCTGGACCAAAGCAGAAAAGGATACACTGTTTTATTTTAGTTCTACTTTGCTCTGTGTTCACACTGACGTATTTAGCACTGAATCAAAAGTCATAGGAGTAAAAGGTCACAACTGATCGGGCAGATTTTTTGGCACAATGAAATAACTGTGATCTTTCTGAGTCGTGCTGTTCTCTGTTCTATCTGGGCTCACTGGTTTCATTTATGTCTTGTTTTAATTGTCTTATGATATTAGAGCAATAAGCCACAAAGCGGGATGAAATCCCTCTAATAGCCTTGAACGGCTTACTGCTTTCACAGAATGGAGAAACCGCTTCATCTTAATATATAATATAATTTTTGTGTGCAGTCAAATGTGCATATTGAGTAATATATAAATGTGCCTCAGCCTCGTTTTAAAACCCAAACTATTCATTCTACAATTACCGCTTCAGAGCTTATGAAGAGACGATAAAACACATGCACGTGTCAAAACAGCATCAGAAACTCGGACCAAAGAGGTTCTGCAAAGAGGAGATGGCAGTTGGTTCTGTTTTTGGGCCATTTAGACGTCTTCAGTCTGCACTGCGTTCATTTTGTAAAGAAACTGCACCAGAATTTGTCCTAAAATGAACTGACACTGACTTGTTCAGGGGCTTTCAGTCTAGCGCAGGGGTCAGCAACACGCGGCTCATATGTGGCTCTTTCACTGCCCTGTTGCGGCTCCACAGCAGAATTAGATTTTTAGGTAAACTAAAATAATCCTTCTTTACAGTAAAATAAAGCTCTGCTGATCGTTCAACACAGGTTTAACAATAAATGGTCTTAAACGCTGGTTAACGTATTTTTAATCTCTACCCTGAAGGTTGGCATGCAGACTGCTGGTCACATAGCAACACAGACAACAGTCTCGCCCAGCTAGTGGCTAACAAAAAGGCAAAGAGAAAGATTTAAGATGAACACCAATAATTTGGAGACGAATGGACTTATTTGCATTTATCATCACTTCAGCTGGTTTCCTGATACGTTTATTCTGCAACGAGAAACTGTCAAACACTAAAAAGTTGCAAAGCAACTTGTTTGAATTTTCACGTTCCACCTTAAATGGTGCAGCAGTTAGCTACGTAGTTAGCTACATTCTGGCATCTCAGCCACCATTTAAGGTGGAACGGGGAAAATTCAAACAAGAAGCTGGTGAATGAGAAGCGACTTCAGCCTCAGAAACTGTTCTACTTTTGTGGAAAAGTTTCCTGCCAGAGATGCGAGAAAACTGGCTACAGCTGACCTAAAGCTTAAAGCAGAGCAAAGTAAGTGTGCGGTGAAACCTACATACAACCTTCGTTCCACTTGGAATCAGGCCTACATTAGAACATTAAACACGTGCAGTAACAAGAAATTCGGTAACATCATGAATGATTATACACTATGTGGACAAAAGTATCGGGACACCTACACATTACACCCACAGGAGCTTTCTGACATCCCATTCTAAATCCATAGGCATTAATCTGGAGTTGGTCTCCCCTTTGCAGCTCTAACAGCTTCCACTCTTCTGGGAAGCTTTCTACAATATTTGGAGAGTGTCTGTAGGAATTTTTGCCCATTCATCCAGAAGAGCATTTGTGTGGTCAGACACTGATGTTGGACGAGAGGGCCTGGCTCGCAATCTCCATTCTAGTTCATCCCAAAGATGTTCGATGGGGTTGAGGTCAGGGCTCTGTGAGGGCCAGACAAGTTCTTCCGCACCAAACTCACCCAGCCATGCCTTTATGGAGCTGCTTTGTGCACTGGGGCTCAGTCATGCTGGAACAGAAAAGGGTCTTCCCCAAACTGTTCCCACAGAATTAGAAGCACAAAATTGCCCAAAATATCTTGGTCTGTTGAAGCATTAAGATTTCCCTTCACTGGAACTAAGGGTTCTAGGCCAACCCCTGAAAAACAACCCCATATCATCATCCTTCCTCCACCAAACTTTACAGCCGGCACAATGCAGTCAGGCAGGTAATGTTCTCCTGGCATTCGCCAAACCCAGACTCGTCCATCAGACTGACAGAAAGAGAAACAGAGGATAGGCACTGTGCTCTTCACCACTTGGCGGCCCCACTCTGTGAGTTTGTGTGGTCTGCTGCTTCGTGGCTAAGCAGTTGTCGCTCCTAGATGCTTCCATTTCACAAGAATAGCACTTACAGTTGACAGGGGCAGGTCCAGCAGGACTGAAATCAAACTGACTTGTGTCAGAGGTGGCATCCTATGACGGTGCCATGTTTGAAGTCACTGAGCTCATCATTACAACCTATTCTACTGCCAGTGTTTGTCTATCGAGACTGCAAGGCTATGTGCTTAATTTTATCCACCTGTTAGCAATGAGTGTGGCTGAATTCAGTAATCAGGTGTGTCCCAATACTTTTGTCCATATAGTATATGTGACTAATGTCTTACGTCTTACCATATAGCCTACTGCACATTATCTCACAAAAGAAAAATCACATTATTACAGTGCCAAGTGTGTTAACTTATAACTGATGGATCCAAGTAAAGTTTTGTTTTGCCTTTTTTTACTGTGGTAAATTTCACTTCCCTTCCATCGTTTACTTCTACTGGTTGGTTTATTTTCATGAAGCCGCCTCAAAACATGTCCACAAATAGTGAGTGTCAAAAGCATCGCACAGATAAACAACACTCATGACATTCAGTAGGTCCGCTGGATCTCTATGTAGAAAAGTTTTTTTTGGGCATTTTTACCCCAGTTATCATCACCATAATGTGTCCACATATGTGTTTCTCATTACCAATATTTACCATTTGTCCCCTTTTTTAATAGGGAAAAAGAGTCTGTATTACTTTGTAACTGTTCTCTTTAATGTTCTCCTTGTGACCTGTAACAATGTGGCAAAAGTAAAAAAGAAAAACAATCAATGGCTGCCAATGTGTTAAAACTGCAAAATACTATACTTTGCAAAATCTATGTTTTAATGATCAGCTTTATAGTACTTAGTTTGACAACCATATACAGACCCTGAAAAGAAAAGTTAGGAAAAAACCCCAAAACATTATTTACAGATTTATCTTCAATCTTTACAGTATTGCAGGAATGACAATCTGGTCACTTAAATTGAAAAATGTTACTAAAAGTCAATTTAATATCAATGAAATCATTCAGATTAATGTTTAATCATTCAACCAAGCATCATCGTTCACACATCCAAAAAGCTTTAATCGTTTGAATTTTTCAGACACTGTTTAATGATGAATGATGTAAATCACATTTCTCTTTGGAAGGTCTAATCGGCTCATATCAGGCAATATTAACCAAAAGATGTACACTGTTTGCTCAGCTAGGACATCCACATATCTCCTGTGAGTGCAGTCTGAAGGGTAAATCACTCTGCAGGACAAACACACTGAGGTGGCAGTGCCCCCCATGTGCCCCCCCGACTGTGGTGCTGGCCAACAGTTTAATTAGTTACATGGTGACTCGATTAATTAGTAAACCTTAATGAGATTTTTCACTTGTAAATTGTGTAAATGACTTTTGTTCCAGTTGTATGCATCCATACAATGATCCAAACGCTTCTGTTTACAACACCACACTACGTCTGTACTTATTTCCTTGCGCTGGTTATCAGCCAGATATAGAGCTCAATTTTAACACTGTACATGGCTCTGAGCTACATCTCTGACCTCCTCTGCCTCCCTTCCAGCTCTTGAGCCCTATGATCTTCAAATGACTTGCTTTTAGCCATTCTATGACCTCTGATGAGGTTTAGAGGTGACCAGGCCTTGTATGGTGCTGCCCCAAGTCTCCCATTTTTATAGATTAAACATTTTTAAAAACGATTTGCTCTTAGCTATTTGAGTACACTCTTAAAAAGGATGGTTCTTCAAGAGTTCTTTAGAAAAGACAATGGTTCTATATAGAACCATGAATACTCAAAGAACCCTTTGCATGATTAAAGGGTTTTTGCATCACGAAATAGTTTTTCAGATTGATGGAAAATGTGATGCAGACGGTTCTATATAGAACATTTTCGAAAATGGTTCTATATAGCACCCAAAATGGATCTTCTATTGTCACGATGTCAAACTTGTAACAATAGAAGAACCCTATTGGGTGCTATATAGAACCCTTTTCAAAAAGGTTCTATACAGACACGTCTATAGCACATTCGTGCACATTTTCCATCAATCTGAAAATGCAAAGAACCCTTTAATCATCCAAAGGGTTCTTTGAGTGTTCATGGTTCTATATAGAACCATTGTCTTTTCTAAAGAACCGTTAAAACGCCGTCTTTTTTAAGGGTGTACTTTGACTTGACGATGCATCCAGTCGTCTATTCCGTCTTGGTTTGTTCTGTCCAGCCAACGGAAATTTCTGTTCTTTGTCTTTTCTGATTTTTTAAATTTGATTCGTTTTTATCTGCATGTAATTTTGAAATTATGGTGCAGTTCTGTGGAGTCATTGGTGGTGTTCGTCCTTTAGCCTTTTGTTCTTGATCAAACTGCTACATTTTTCATTTCAGCAGCACATTGGTCCACACATGTTGTTTATATGTTTACATTTATTATAAACAAAACTTATTTTATAATGATATTTATAACCAATGAATATTACTTGCAAATAACTATTAGAGTGATGTTCTATTGATTTATAGGGATGTCTTATAATGAAAGACAATTATTTTATAGAAAATAATTAATATTTACTAACTTCTTATTAAATGTTATAACAAATAAATATTACTTCATGATACTGAATATTTATTGTAGTTCTGGAGATATTTTTATAATGACATTATACACTGTATGGCCAACTGCTACAGCTGCAAGGCTTTGTGCTTGGCTTTATACACCTGTTAGAAATGAGTCGCTGTAACAGCTGAACTCAGGAATGAGTGTCCAAATGGCCATGTAGTGTATAATGTATGAGTGAATGACTCCTATGCATTCATTTGATTGATGATTCATGAATTTATGAACATTCATTCATTTAATGGTCTTATGTTTACATGGTCTTATTCTATGGCTCCAACTCACCCTTATCCTCCTCATGGCTGCCAGGATCTCCAGCCTGCTTTTGGGTCTAACCACGTCCAAACTGCCCACAAACTGAATGGAAACACATTGAAAGTTATTCACAAATTTGTCTCCATCTTTCACACCTATAAACCATAACATAACATTTATCCTTGTTTCTACACTCATTGTCCATTTTATCAGCTCCACTGACCGTATAGGAGCGCTTTGTAGTTCTACAGTTACAGACTGTAGTCCATCTGTTTCTCTGCATACTTTGCTACCCTGTTCTTCAATGGTCAGGACCCCCACAGGACCACCACAGAGCAGGTATTATTCGGGTGGTGGATCATTCCCAGCACCGCAGTGACACTGATGTGGTGGTGGTGTGTTAGTGTGTGTTGCGCTGGTCTGAGTGGATCAGACACAGCAGTGCTGCTGGAGTTTTTAAACACCTCAGTGTCACCGCTGGACTGAGAACCAAAAATATGACCACTGATGAAGGTCTAGAGGATGACCAACACAAACTGCGCAGCAGCAGATGAGCTACTGTCCCTGACTTTACATCTACAAGGTGGACCAACAAGGTAGGAGTGTCTAATAGAGTGGACAGTGAGTGTTTAATGATCCACCACCCAAGTAATACCTGCTCTGTGGTCCAGTGGGGGTCCTGACCATTGAAGAACGGGCTAACAAAGTATGCAGAGAAACAGATGGACTACAGTCTGTAATTGTGCTCCCATATGGTCAGTGGAGCTGATAAAATGGACAATGAGCGCAGGAACAAGGAGGTGGTTTTAATGTTATGGCTGGTCAGTGTTTGTACATCCAGCTGTCCTGAAATAAAGAGAGCAACAGGTTAGTTGGGCTACATGACACAATAAACCATCCCATGAATCCCCACTTCTACTCACATACACAGGCTTTTTCACAGGTTCACATTAAACACATCACTGCCACTCACCTTCACCTCGAACGTGATTCCATACTGAAAGATGTCGTCGTTGTCCACAGGCATCCTCGGGTCCAGCGTGTCGTCCACGAGATTATACTTCGTTTTCTCAGGCATTTTGTGGATTTATCTCGAAGCTGTGACCTCCTGGAGTAAATTTCAATAAACGTAAGCCCTCAGTGGGACATGTCACCTCAGAAAAACAAATCTCAAACCGGTGTTTTCATAGGCAACCCTGTCGTTGGCCAAGGATTGTGACTCTTCACACAGAAAAATCCTCATAAACTCGATATAATTCGGCTAAGTTACTTCAGAGAGGTGCCTTGAGAGGAAAACGTCTCATAAATGTTCAACTAGCTTCAATAAAATCAGAAAATATGACGCTCCTGAAGCCAACGCCAAAGACGCAGCTGTCTTGTCAGCAGTGAATGAGGAGGCAGATGTGCAATGTATTTGTTATTTTTTACGCCTCTATTCCGGTAAGTCCCGCCCCCAATGCGCTGCGATTGGTTATCCGGACTCCGTGACGAGCTCTACGATTGGCTAGAGGCTCATACTCGAAAGGGGTTTGCAACTACTTGCGTATCGTAGCGCAGGACGCTAGCCAATCATAGCGCAGGAAAGCAGAAACGGACGGAATACGGGTGGAGGAAAATAACGCGGTTGGTGCAGGCTGCTCTGAGTTCAGGAAGCTTGTGTGAGCCCTCGCTGTGGACTGTACATAATAATACGTGCAAAGCTGACACCTAGTGGTAGCTGTTTGTAATGCGTGTAGGTAGGAAATGGACAGAGACGGATAAAATGTTCTATTTTAAAGCGAAACTCCACCAACTTTTCAGAATTTCTACATAATTAAGTGGTTAAGATGTAAACAGAGTCATTCAGAGTGGTTTGGTGTGAAGTGCTCTGTTCTAGAGAAACTTAGAGTCAGAATTTTTAACAGTGGTGGTGATAGGAACCAGACGACAACCTCTAAAAGCGCCCTTACAGTAAGTAAGTTATTACACAAAATGGTTATGAATATGCTGCCTGATATGTGAGACATTGTTTTATGAGAGTATGTGATAAAGTTTTGGCCTGCTTGTTAATGCATTTATTTAAGTCTTTTCATGGTGGAGGGATACATGCAGGGTGTTGGGCAAAGTAGTCCCAGAAGAAAACTTATTTTTTCAGATTTATCACTATTTTACCCTTCTCAACATTACATATATAAACTCAGAAGACACGTGTAGGTTCACTGGTGGTTTTGGATAGTAAATAAAATGGCTGTATATTGTGTGCAGACATGGTGACCGCTGGTTCCTATCACCACCACTGAAAGGAAATCTTAGTATGTTTCCCTACAATGGACCATTTCACATCAAACAACTCTGAAAGACTTTGTTCACATTGCAGCCACTGAGTTATGCAGAAATGTAGAAAAATCAGTGGAGTTTCCCTTTAAGGTACACTAATGCTTTATGGATTTAACCAAATGTATTAGCTGAACTAGCTAACATTGTGTGAGGTAGGTTAAAACATATAGAAATAACATTAGTTATTATTTTTCTTATAGACGTCAGTGGGTAGCGCTGCCGCCTCACAGCAACAATGGCCTGGGTTCGATTCCCCCGGCCGGGCGACCAGGTTCCCCCCTGTGTGGAGTTTGCATGTTCTCCCTGTGTCTGTGAAGGTTTCCTCCCACAGTCCAAAGACATGCAGTCAAGCCGACTGGAGATACTACATTGTCCCTAGGTGTGAATGTGTATGTGATGGACTGGCAGCCTCTCCAGGCTGTTTCCTGCCTTCTGCCCAATGGCCGCTGTGATGGGCTCCTGCGGCCCAGGAGGATAAGTGGCTTAGATGACTTGGTCCTAGCCATACTGTAATGGCTATTTCTAACCTGTAGTTGTTGCTGCCGTTGTGGGTGGTACATTACAGAACAAAGGCTGTTCTGCATGGGACATAATGTCTGCAAAAACACAGAGTGTCATGGTCTATATGGGATTATTCAAGCTCCAGTCCTCACAGGCCAAAACACTGCAGGCTTCAGCACACTGCCTTATTAAACACACCCAATTCAGCTAATTATCTAATTAGCAAGGCCTTCATGAACTGAATTCAGAGCATTAGATGAGGGTAAACGCTAATCTCCGTAGCACTTTGGCTGAAGGTCCTGATTTAGACCCATGTGGCAGGTTTTTATTTGCTTAGTTATTCATTCATTCATGCGTTCATTTTTTGACTTTCTTTGCAAGGAGGCCTCTGACACTGGAAACCAGTCAGTCATGCTTACTAGACTGTACGTTGCAGCACAGTGAAACTGTAGAGCTCTTATTTTGTCTCTGGAGTGCATGAAAATACATCAGATGGAAATCTCACTGACAGCAGGTCACTGATCTAAACCTCTGGTTCTTTTAGTGTATCGGTACATTGTTACGATCATGTACACTGAGCATCATTAGGCCTCTTCATTTCAGACTGCAGAAGCACTAAATGGCACATGTTGTGTGCTTTTGGCTACCTGTACGTCTCTAGATGAGATCAGAGCACTACAACTCACTAACTAACTAACTAACTGAGTCATTCATTAACAGTGATTGCACTGTAGGCCTACATGTACGTGTATATGTCTATTGCCATTGTAAACTAGGAATACAGTGTTGCAGAACTATACTTTGTTTCATGCAGTTTATTTCGTATATTTGTTATTCTGATATAATACAGCCAAAACTAGGATCCATCATTTGTTGCAGCAGTGGAGTAAAAGCCTCCCAAGGTGTGAATAACCAAGCATTAGTCATAATAAGTAGGCTAATCAGAGGAGTGGAGGCATAGCCAGTAGGGGGAGCTATACAGAAGCACAAACGGTCCTAGTTATCTCTCACTATTCCTAAGTTTGCCTGTATGAACTGTATTAGTTCAGCTCATTTCAGTCTTATTGTCCCTTTTTACTATGAACGTTGTCCCTAAGCAGCTTTGCAGAAATGCAGGTCCAGTAATGAGAAAACGGTCAGTTTCATGAAACAGGTCAGGAGTTTGTGTAGAGGTTCGACTGAGGGCAGATGGATTTTAGACCATTTGTTTTTGCAAATGCTGTATTATTTTTATCTGACAGGACTAATTATGCTCAGAACAGAAATAACAAGATTCCCAGAGTGCAGGTTAGGACACTTAATAGGGCAGTGAGTGGAAGTACAACGTAGGTGTTTCTACTAAAGTGGCCAGTGAGCGAAAGTACAAGGGAGGTGTTTCCAATAAAGTGGGCAGTGAGCAGAAGTACAAGGGGTGTGTTTCCAATAAAGTGGCCAGCGAGCAGAAGTACAAGGGGTGTGTTTCTAATAAAGTGGCCAGTGAGTGGAAGTACAAGCTTGGTGTTTCTACTAAAGTGGCCAGTGAGGGGAAGTATAAGGTGGGTGTTTCTAATAAAGTGGCCAGTAGGGCAGAAGTACAAGTGAGGTGTTTACAGTAAAGTGACAAGTGTGTGGAATTACAAGGGAGGGGGGGGGGTGTTTCTAATAAAGTGGCCAGTGGGTGGACGTACAAGGTCGGTGTTTCTTATAGAGTGATCAGTGAGTAGAAGTACAAGTGAGGTGTTTCTAATAAAGTGGCCAGTGAGCGGAAGCACAAGTGAGGTGTTTCTAATAAAGTGGCCAGTGAGTGGAAGTACAAGGGGAGTGTGTTTCTAATAAAGTGACCAGAGAGTGGAAGTACAAGGGAGATGTTTTTAATAAAGTGTCCAGCAGGTGGAAGTACAAGCTTGGTGTTTCTACTAAAGTGGCCACTGAGTGGAAGCACAAGGTCAGTGTTTCTAATAAAGTGGCCAGTGGGTGGACGTACAGTGTCCGTGTTTGTAATAAAGTGACCAGTGAGCAGAAGTACAAGTGAGGTGTTTCTAATGAAGTAGCCACTGAGTGGAAGTACAAGGTAGGTGTTTCCAATAAAGTGGAGAGTGAGCGGAAGTACGATGTAGGTGTTTCTAATAAAGTAGCCAGTAGGTGGTAGTACAAGGTGGGTGTTTCTAATAAAGTGGTCAGGTAATAAAGTATTTATCATAAGCCTGAAGTATTTATCTCTGATTATGTTGTCAGCTTTGGAGCTGCAGTCGTGACCCTGCTGCGCCCCATGCGGCTCTACCTTGTGAGATGTCAGAGCGCAAATCTGCGTCATCCCACCGGACCTGGACCCCCTATAAATAAACACAAGCAATAATACATCTAATGTGTTCGTGGTGCTGTACTGTTTGCACCTCCTGGGGACGAGTGAGGAAAGACTGTCTCGGAACACACCGCGCTCTTCGCTCCTTCTTCTGTGCTATTACTTTACGGGGGGCTGAGAGAGAGCTGTTATTTCATTGCTGCTTTTTCCGTCTACCTGCTGACCTCAAATCAGAACAGCTCTTCGTTGCACTCTTGAGTCATTTTAAGCCAGCCACAACCCCCCACTCTCTTGAGAGAGAGAGAGAGAGAGAGAGAGAGAGAGAGAGAGAGAGAGAGAGAGAGAGAGAGAGAAGAATTATCTTGTTCCCTTAGTTAGAAAGAGGGTCAATCTAATTAGAAAACTAGAGCACTAAAAGCACTGAGGGATGAATGGTCAATGCTAAGTGAACGACAAGCCATTCTTGAAGGTGAGGACCCAAAACGTCCAGTTTATTTCCTCAGTGTTACAGAGCAGCTGAAGTGCCCCTGACACACAGACAGTACATCTTGTCTTCTCTTGCCAACACCATGGGCTTCCCAGGGCAACTTCCCATGATTCCATTGACCCAGACTTATTTTCAGGATTCATACAGACTGCTGCCCACAACTTAGTAGGCTGGGGTTCTGTTTTCTGCTCAAGTAATCATGCTATACCATGCTATACCAGTAAGAGTCCTTGGCAAGACTCCAAATGCTACGATTCCCAACCTCTGAAATGTGATTAAATAGTGCGGATAAGAACATCTGCAAAATGCAAAAATGTAAAAAAAAAAAAAAATAATTAGGATTGCAATGAGGGCGGCACGGTGGCGCAGTGGGTAGCGCTGTCGCCTCACAGCAAGAATGGCCTGGGTTCGATTGCCGGGCGACCAGGGTCCTTTCTGTATGGAGTTTGCCTGTTCTCCCCATGTCTGCGTGGGTTTCCTCCCACAGTCCAAAGACATGCAGTCAGGCCGATTGGACATGCTGAATTGCCCCTAGGTGTGAGTGACTGTGTATGTCTGTCTGTCTGCCCTGCGATGGACTGGCGACCTGTCCAGGGTGTATCCTGCCTTCTGCCCAATGACAGCTGGGATAGGCTCCAGCACCCCACCGCGACCCAGAAGGATAAGCGGTTTAGATGATGTGTGTATGTATGTAGGATTGCAATGATATGGGACTAGAGGGCCAATTTTCATATACATTCTATATATGGCCAAAAGTATGTGGACACTTCCTAATTACTAAGTTCAGCTGCACCTATGGCTGGGTAATATGGCAATATGTACTGTTATCATGATAAATTATGTCCCAATTCAATACAACATGCTTTTCTGAACGCATTGTGATGTCCAGAACTGATCATCCAATATCAATACCTGATCTCACTAAAGCTCTTGTGGCTGAATGCAATCAAATCATCACAGCAATGTTACAACATCTAGTGTAAAGCCTTCCCAGAAGAGTAAAGGCTGTTACTGCAGCAAACTGCTGTCTACAAACTTTTGGACACATAGTCTAATATGACATCATCCTTTAAGAACCCTCTGCGTGACTAAATGGTTCTTTGCATCATTAAAGTGTTCTTCTTACTGATGGAGAATGCGCTATAGATGGTTCTATATGGCTCACAAAAGGGTTCTTCTTTTCTTATGTCAAGCTTGTAACAATAGAAGAACCCTTTTTGGGCACTATATAGAACCATCTTCAAAAAGCTTCTATATAGAACCGTCTACAGCACATTCAGGTACACTCTTTCATGATGCAAAGAACGCTTTAGTCATGCAGAGCGTTCTTTAAAGTGTTCATGGTTCTGTATAGAACCATTTTCTTTTCTAAAGAACCCTTGAAGAACCATCTTTTTTTAACCTAGAGTCTTATAACAAAAGAAGAACCTTTTGGTGCTATACAGAACCATTTTCAAAAAGGTTCTTCAGATTGATGGATAACGTGTTGTATAAGGTTCTACTCAGAACCTTTTGGAAAATGGTTCTGAGTAGCACCAAAAGGTTCGTTTTTGTTACAAGCCTGACATCATAACAATAGAAGAACCCTTTTCAAAACCATATACAACACATTCTCCATCAGTCTGAAGAACAGTTCCACCATGCAAAGAACCGTTTAAGTATGAAATGTTTGCATATAACTCATGGTTCCAAATAGAACCATTGCCTTTACTAAAGAACCCTTGAAGAACCATCTTTTTTTAAGATTTGGGCCCTTTAAATTCTTACAAGAACCAGCTGCAAACATTAAATCTAGTTAGTAAATCGACGACTGTAAAGGCATTTAAGGTCAAACTGACTGAACTTGCTTAAACTGTTCATAGTTCTATAAAGAACCATTCTCTTTTCTAAAGAACTCTTAAAGAACCATCTTTTTTAAGAGTGAAGCTTGACATCATAACAATAGAAGAACACTTTTTGATGCTGTTCAGAACCATTTTCAAAAAGGTTCTTTGTAGAACCATATACGACACATTCTCTATCAATCCGAAGAACCGTTCCACCACACAAAGAACCATTATAACACAACTATTTGTCTGAATCGAAATATATTTATTTATATTTAAAGCAATTTTAGCATAGATAATCATTTTAATGCACAAAATGACTAAAATCGCCAAAGTAAAAGTCCAAAAAGAAGAATTTTACATAGTTTTTTGGTGGTTAATTTAGAGAACAGACTTAAAGATGCATAAAAAAATCTATTATTTCTGGTTTGTTCTAATTTTTGAGCTTATTTTCATTGCTTTAAACATGTGGTTGATCATTTACAGCCACATTGGAATTGTGATTGAAGTTTCCTAGTAGATTAAAAATATAGGAAAAATCCCAAACATCCACCCACTTCCACACAGTTCACAGCACTGTTCCGGTCATCGTCTACCCAGATTCACTGGAACAGAAGTGGAGAGAGGAACTGCAGAGTCTGATTCCACTCAACGTAATCATCTCCACATGTTCTCCACATCTGGATTAAGGTTGCACAGATAGCACTAATCTAACATCCTGATACTTGAGAACATTTCGCAATTTCGCTTCTCAGTTGGCCAACGTTGAATGCGTTTACAGGCACTCAATAATCCGATCATAATCAGATTTCTGCAGTTATCTGATTATTTAGTTGGTCATGTGAACAGCAAACTCTGATTTCTTAGATCAGACTAAGGTCTAGAAATCCGAGCAAGAAATCTGATAAAGAGGCTGGATTTTAGCTCAGTAATCAGATTTCTCAGTGCATGTGAACTCTTACTCTGATTTCTTTCAGATTTCTCAGTCTGAACATGTGCGAAAACAGATGGCGGTAGCAGAAATAAGCAAGCAGCGTCGCCGCAAGACCGAAACCAGTACGTGCTTGACGAAATGAAGGATTTAAATATTCTTCGTCTTCTATATGATGTATGTTCACATTTTCACGTAAAGTGGCGCGACGTTTTGGAAGAAAAAGAGTTTTACGTTACGTTTACATCACGTCGTCTTCTGTGAGTTTACTGGCCAGCTGCAGAGATGAAATCTGATTACTGCTTGACTAATGTAGACCTGGAGTTTTCCTATTATCTGATTACTCAAGTGCATGTCAACACGTTGATTGGATTACTGACCAAATCTGATTTTCTGCAGTTATCGGATTATTAAGTGCATGTAAACACGCCCAGTGCTCGGAGCGCATATTGACAGCACCATTTACATATTTATGAGATGGATCACAACTCCACCTAAGGCCTTCCAGAACGTTTAATGTTCTACTACAGTGGACAGTGTCCCCTCAGGGGCAGTCAGATCTAGGGCCAGTCTTCTTCGTCCAGAAACCCAACCGAAACCCACCTGAAACCCCCAAAAAGCACACAGGATCAGCACTGGAACGACTGCAGTGGGGGCCAAAGAGGCGGCAGAGCGCATGACTCACTGCAGAGCTCTGAATCTCGTCAGGTTCGTCTGAGCAGGGAGGCAAATAAACCTGTGCCGAGGCGTGGAGTGAAGTGGGAGGGCATGAGTGGGCCAGCGCTGTCGCCATGGAGATTGGCCTGCACTCCATGCTGTATTACCGGGAAAAAAAAAGACAATGCACACCTCGGCTGGCGGGGTATTCTAGAAACGATTAATTATCTCCCCGGTGGCGGATTGGCTGCAGTTTACTGGCTGTAGCTTAGAGCTGTTAGGAGGGCAGCATGGGAGAAGCAAGCGCAGCGTGTTTTTAACGATGACTACGTTCGATTTTTCTTCCTGAGTGGGATGTAAAAGCGAGAGAATGTGTGTGAGACAAAGGAATGGCCTTCAGTGACTTTACAAAGGCAGTAATGGGTCAGTGAGTCAACTGGCTGAGCGAATAACGGAAGCTTTATTGTTTGTAGTGATGCAGCCGAGCATCGATATTTGTATGTCTGTGCAGATGAGGACGTAAGAAGGGCTTTCACAGAACAGCAGTGCTGAGAATGGTTCTCCACTCAGTAGTATCCGTTCAACAGCGGTCCTGTGGTCAGAAATGGAATGAGGTAGAAGGTGGCTGACGAACTGTCCATGCCAGTTTGCACAATGGTACAAACTGGGTTCTACATGGTGTCCATAAAAAGGTTCTTTCACTTGTAACAACAGTGTTAACCCTTTCGGGAGAACCATTTTTTTAAGAGGACCTTGTGCAACAGCTTCTCAGGTCCATGGTTGCATGATGAACTGGTTCTTGATGATGGAAAACCTGTTGTACATGGTTGAACCTTTTTCATGGTGCTATACAGAACCCTATCTGCTAAGAACGAGCATACAGGATGTACAGCCTTTGGTAGAACCTTTCTTGGTACTATAAAGAACCCTTTCTGCAAAGAGCCAGCATACATTCAAATGGTTCGTTGAGTGATGATGTGCTATAAATAGCTATTGCTATCACATCCTTTTTTGCCTAGAACCAAATCAAAAGAGGTTCTTCAGGGCAATGGTTACAAAACTGTGAAACATTTGAATGCATACAGGGTTCTTTGCATGATTAAATGGCTCTCGATCATGGAAAACCTGTTGGAAAACCCATAGAACCTTTCTTGCTACTACAAGGACCAGCATACAGGTTGTACAACCTCTTGTAGAACCTTTCTAGGTTCCATAAAGAACCTTTTCTGCAAAGATCCAGCATACTTTCAAACGGTTGTTTGAGTGGTGATGTGCTCTAAATAGCTATTGCCCTTTTTTAAAGAAACACTGGAGAACCTCCTTTTTTGGCCTAGAACCCTTACAAAAAGTGGTTCTTCAAATGTTCTTTAGTAAAGGTAAAGGGTACATAATCGTGAAATATTTGAATGCATACATGGTTCTTTCATGATTAAATGGTTCTCGATCATGGAAAACCTGTTGTATAAGTCATAGAACTTTCTTAGTACTGTAAAGAGCCCTTTCTTTCAAGAGGCTCTTTTACTGGTGCTACAAATAACTATTACACTTATTAAAGACATTGAAGAACCTCTTTTTTTGCCTAGAACCAAACAAAAAGTGATTCTTCAGTGGTGTTTTAGTAAAGGCAATAGTTACGTATAGAACCATGAAGGCTTCGAGTGCAGAACCGTTTCAGTGTATAATCTTTGCATTGTTAACTGATGGACAACCTGTCGTATATGGTTCTTTAAAGGGTCATAGAACCATTTTTGGTTCTATATAAAAACCCTTTTGTCTAAGAGTGTGAGTAGTGCGAGATCTGTGTTTATCATAAAGTGAACAGTGAGCAGACGCAAGAAATTATGGTTCAAAAATTTATTCCAACAGACGTTTAAACATCACAGTGTCATAAATAACAAGTATGCTAATTCCATAAAACTATATTTTCAATAAATATCATCTTTCCATAAAATTTATCAATAAATACGGATGTGAAAAATAGACGTTTAGTAGTTTGTGCAAAAGGCGAATTTGAGTAGCGCCCTTACAGTTTTATTCCAGTGCTACAGAATAATCCCATCGTCCCTTCCTGCGGTCAAGCTCCTGACCGGCGTTCCAGCAGACTCTCTTGAGCTTCAGTTCACATATTATCAGGGCAGGGAGCTGACCTTCACCGAGGCCTGATCAGTTCCTAACTCGTGGCCTCAAGCAGGCCGTGTGGTGCAGTCCGGACCAGCCGTATGAGGTTTGCGTCCCCTCTGAAAAGTCCTGTGCTCAGTCCCAGGACTGGACTTCATGGTGTCAGCTGTCTGGTGATGTCCAGGTAGAGTGTGGATTTGAGGAATCGAGGGTAGCAGTCTTTCTCCATCAGGGCGTAGATCTTGCTCTGAGCCAGCTCAAAGCAGGAGACGGTGGGCTGTTCCACGTTGTTCTTGGTGATGGTTCTGGTCTCGTGGTCGAGATTCACCTGAGATGACAAAGAAGATACATTTTAATTCTAATAAATTTACATAAAATGACATTAAATGGGAAAAAAAAATCCACATAATTAAATGGTTAAGATGTAAACAAAGTCATTCAGAGTGGTTTGGTGTAAAATGCTCCATTCTAGAGAAACTTAGAATCAGAACTGTTCACAGTGGTGGTGATAGGAACCAGACGTCCACCTCTAAAACTGCCTCACAGAAAAGTTATACAATTAAATGGTATTTTTTTCAGATTTATGACCATTTCATTCACTGGTTCACTGGTAGGTTTGGCTAATAAATAAAATGGCTATATTTGTGTTCTAGACATGCGGACCCCTGGTTCCTATCACCACCACTGCAAAGAAATGAGTCTCTACAATGAACCACTTCACATCAAACCGCTCCGAATGGCTCTGTTTGCATCTCAAGGGTTAAATTATTCTGATAATTCTTAAAAATTGGTGGAAATCCCACTTAGGTTAAGAGGTTCTATTTAATATGGATATTTACCTCTCTTGGTGCGTCGCAGCCAATGAACTCCTCATAGATCTTCTTGGCCTTGGTGCACAGCTTGGAGGCTGACTTCGTATTCTTGTAGTCCTCACAGGCGAGATAGAAGGCAATGTTTTCTTCGCTGTATTCTGACACCAGGAATGCTCGGAAGGCACATAAGCCGTCTGCACAAGAGTGAACGAGAGGGCGTTAGATCTCCTCATATACATAACAAATAACAACAACAACAACAACAACAATAACAACAACAACAACAACATGCTCAGAATTTCTCTTTATATTGCGCCGCACACTCACCTTTATGAGCCAGGAGGTTCTGAAAGGACGTTCTCCATTTAAGTGCCTCCTCCACCCTCAGTTTGTCGGCTTTGTTTGAAACACCCATGATGTTGAGCTCCTGCTTGAGGAGGAAACTTCCAAATCGAGCCTTGAGCTCCTTGGCCCTGGAGGAGAGGAGGGAAAACGTTGGTTATACAGCTGTTCACAGGACCAAGTCCCCATAGGGAACTTAGCCAAACAAGCACATGCTGTGCTTCCAATATGCTGTTTAAGCTCACTATTTAGACTTAGGAACCAATACTTGTACTCTATTTCCTACAAAATCCAGCCATATCCAGAAAACAAGGAAGCTACAAAGCAAGCAAGATGTATCTCACCTCTCCAGACACGTGATTGGCAGTGATTCCAGTCCTCTGCACATGTTCACGCAATAAGAGATCTCCAGCTTTGTGTTGCACTAGGATCGGTAGCTGCTGAGCGCTGTGAAAGAGTTTTGATTCTGCCCGAAGCGAAGCAGCCCAGTGCTATTTATACAAGAGCCCACTCAAGGACGTCGCTCCCCACAGCCAATAGGAGCCAGCAGCTGTGGAAGAGGGAGGCGTTCCTTTCTCCAGCAGTGGGTTGTGATTCATTTCCAGTACACCACTCTGCCTCGGAGATTCAGGTTTTCCCTCATACAGCAGAAAAAAAATGTGTAATGTTGTTAATCAGAAAATGCAGGTAATGGTGCCAGAAAATGTGTTTGGCAGTGAGACAGGCTTCTCAAATTGGTAAATAAGTGTTACCAAAAGCCATCAAGCTGCTGTTATTTGGTAGTCGAGTTAGATTGGGAGGAATCGTGGCAGGAAGTGATGATAAATGCATTTATCTGTATGATTTGGTCTGATTTAAGCATATATAACTTTGTCTTACTCAGCCACTTTTGCCAGTGAATGACTCAATAGTTCAAGACGCAGGTTAAGGCTCTTAAGTATTGGAAATGACTGCTGTACTGCAGTCGGAACAAAACCTTGCATGTCCATTTTTGTCATTTTTCAGTTTTATATTATTTGAAAATGCCTGCTGCCCTTCACACTGTATGTATATACACCAATATTGAAACCTGGAGTATCAGCTAAGACTGAACAAATATTTCTTAAAACTGCCAGCTGGACCCCTGAGTGGTGCAAGTGCTTAAACCAGTGGTTTGTGACAAATGGCAGTACCAAGGGGGCAGCAGGAAACCCTAACAAAAAATGTACTTCATTTTATTGAGTAAAATTATGTAAATTTCAAATTTTTTCCCCAAATATACCTCATGTGAATATACTAACATTAATATACTAGTATATTTGTACTATTTAAGTACTTCTTGGGACTAAATTGGATCTCTTTTTAAATTTCTTAAAGATTACTTTTAAGCATACTTTAGGTGCAAGTTTAGTAAACTTATTAGACAATTAGTTTACATTAGTTTGCCTTAGTAAATTCATTACACAATTAGTTTAATGTAAACAATTTTTTTGTTTACATTAGTAAACTAATTACACAATTAGTTTTTGTAAGTTTACATTAGTAAACTTAGCACACAATTTGTTTAATTCAGTTTACATTAGTAAACTAATTACACAATTAGTTTATGTTAGTTTACATTAGCCAACCTATTGTGCAATTAGTTTATATTAGTTTGCATTAGTAAACTTTTTACGCAATTAGTTTACATTAGTTTGCACTGGTAAACTTATTAGGCAATTAGTTTACATTAGTTTGCATTAGTAAACTTATTACGCAATTAGTTTACATTAGTTTGCACTGGTAAAGTTATTAGGCAATTAGTTTACATTAGTTTGCATTAGTAAACTTATTACGCAATTAGTTTACATTAGTTTGCACTGGTAAACTTATAAGGCAATTAGTTTACATTAGTTTGCACTGGTAAACTTATTACGCAATTAGTTTACATTAGTTTGCATTAGTAAACTCATAACGCAATTAGTTTGTATTAGGTTGCATTGCATTAGTAAACTAATTACACAATTAGCTCACATCTAAGTTTTATTTTGTATTGCAACTATACTTTGAACTAGGATTTCCACTATCTTACTCGAACTACCAAAATGCTCTCCTACACCTATGGGACGAAATGGACAGCAAACAACACCACGTCACATACTGTATGTGTGCTTTTTCATGACAGATTTGTTACAGAATATAAAGACTTGTTCTTTTTTCCCCTCCAATATCCCATCCAGCATTTTCTGCTGATATCAGTCTGGTACCGATATCTGGTATGGGGTCACTGTCATTTCTCATAGCTGCAGGCTTTTGAGTTTGGGCCTACTGCAGAAGCAAAACAGGAGCCGCAGCGATAAATGTCGCTGAGTGACTCATGGACTGAGCTGCAACTGATCTGACATTTTTATGCTTTTGAACCTACAACCCCCCCCGCTCTCAGGGCTTCATCACTATAGAATTGTCTTTCCCGTAAAAATCGATCTGCTTCATACAGCCGGAAGGCGCCGTCTGAGGAGGTCCCTGTTCATAAGAACCGCAGTGTGAGTAAAGGAGGGCAGTGAGGGGTTGCAGGAAGTGATGGAGGAAGGTCGCCCACGCTACCAGGAGGAAATTGCACTTCGTCGCTACCAAGGCAGTGGCGGTGTGAGGGAAGTCTTGTGAACGCTGTCGTCTCCTTGAGAGAGCTGTATGGGTTCTTCACTCTTCTTAATTCTTCCTGTTGCTCCACTTTTGTTGTTGTACTGTAGTCCATAAACTGTCTTTGGGCCTCTTTTTGGGGTGGGGGGTGGGGGGGTGAGCAATGCAGAGTGGTTTTAATTTGTACCACTCCAGTACTGTCTCACGATGGTGTTATAGCAGCCTCGGTCCACACTATCATATACAAGATGAAGATGGGCCTACAGTAGAGTGCTCTGTTCACACAGGTCGCAGAGGTCAGTGTTTTTGGGGACGCTCTGTCACAGAACATGTCTAAGCGACAGGCCAGCGGCAGTCGAGCCTTCACTGTTTGACCGCCATCATTGCAGTCCGGTTGTAAACATGTTTTTATCACTGTTGCCACAGATTTACATTCTTGAAAACAGATTATCAGTCATTGTTGATACTAATGGAGTCATTTTACAGAAGCCACTTTCATCAGACTTGATTTACTGTATATATAAGCAGTATTGATTTTAGTTAAACACCCAAAAAGCTTTCCATATCCCAAATCACTTATATAAATTTAGTGATGAGCATTTGCGGGCCAGTTTACAGCAGGAGGGTCTGCTGTGTCATTACTAGGGCTGTAGTCAAGACCATTCCGTCGAGTCCTAGACTATGACTTAGAGCTTGAAATATGTGTCCGAACCCAACGGGACCTGACTACTTACTCAGACGTCATTTCCCAGATATATATCAAGCTCGGGTCAGGTTCAATTTGCGCGTTTAAGTTCTCACAGCCCGCCTCCCAAATTTGACCAGTTTTTAATCTGGAGTCACTCACTGGTCTTGTTTACAGAATGTAGGCCCAGTCTTACAGAAAAGCGGGCGATTCAGGAGAGTTCAGCTGTTTGTTTATATTTAATTGGTTTGGCTGAAAATATTGCTTTATATTTTATGTGCAACATATAATTAAACAAAACCTTGTATCTCCAAAAATGGTAACTTTGCAGGAGAAGAAAAAAGGTTCTTAACTTATAATGGAAGTTAATGTAATATGATTTATTCAAAGTAATTTTGGACCATTTCTGTTGGTCCATTCATCATAAAAATTTAACACAATGCAAAGGGTTACTAGAGTTTTAAAAACAGGCAAAAAAGTGGAGATGAAAAGTTTTTGCACAAAAGTGACAGTATGTAAACTGTGCAATGTAGAGACATTAAACAGATGAAGGCTAACATGCTAAATTAGCCATATCAGCACTGCACAGAGTGAGAATATAATGCTATGGAAAGTGTATCCAGACTAAACATGTTTAGGTTGTTGTCGTTTTTAGAAAGCACTGCTTGATGAATAAATGTGTTAAAGCAGAATTTAAATTTCATTTTGGACAACTGAATGTTTAACATTTTTATTTCACTTGTTTGTGAATAATGACGACTATTATTGTTGCTACACAATGATTTAATTCGCACTACCTTTCCGGCTTTATTCGGCACTTTGGGTGATGGTAGGGAAGTTTGGGTCAGTTTCAGACAGAATTGTTTTGAGCTCAGGTCAGGTTTAAACTCAAAACTTGAAGATATTGATCTTGTCAGATTCAGGCCAAAGTTTTTTTCTGGCTCAGGTTTGGTTGACAGAAAGTTCTCAGGCTGTATTTGAGTTCAGGCTAAAATGTTAGGCCTGATTAAAGCTTCAGATTGAGTCAAGACAGAACATGAAGTGGCCCAAACCAAGTCAAGAGTCAAGATTGAGCTCAAACGAGAGCGAGACAGAGTCAACATCGAGCCTAAATGAGACCGAGACTGACTCGAGCCTAAATGAGAGCGAGACTGAGTCAAGATTGAGCTCAAACGAGAGCGAGACAGAGTCAACATCGAGCCTAAATGAGACCGAGACTGACTCGAGCCTAAATGAGAACGAGACAGAGTCAAGATCGAGCTCAAATGAGTGAGACAGAGTCAAGACTGAGCCTAAATTAGAGCGAGACAGAGTCAAGATCAGGCACAAATGAGAGCGAGGCCGAGTCAAAATCAGGCACAAATGAGAGTGAGGCTGAGTCAAGATCGAGTCCAAATGAGAGTAATAAAGAGTCAAGATTGAGCTCAAATGAGAGAGAGACAGAGTCAAGATTTAGCCTGAATGAGAGCGAGACAGAGTCAAGATTGAGCCTAAATGAGAGCGAGGCAGAGTCAAGATCGAGCTCAAATGAGAGCGAGGCCGAGTCAAGATCGAGCTCAAATGAGAGCAAGACTGAGTCCAGATCAAGCTCAAATGAGAGAGGGACAGAGTCAGAGACAAGCCTGAATACAAGTCCTATTGGGTCAGTAGAAAAACATCTTGGGACGAGACTCTAGTCCTACAGCACTGGTCATTACAGAAAGGAGGATATAAATATCAGACAATACCATTAATACTGAACTAAAATAAAATCAACACATTTGATGCAAAGACTAATTTTGACGCAGTCCACCTAGCTCTAGCTTACTGACCCTTGGAGGTCCTTGTGCCCACGCATTGGTTGATTTACAGACTGCCATATTCATCTACAGGACTCTTCCTTTGGTCTCCAGATTCCTGTGACTGGGAATTCCTTCCTGTTTGGACGCCTGGACCTCCAGAGAACAATGCGAGCTGTTAGACAGAACGGCAGACTGCTTTTCCATACTGTGTCATTGTTCCAATAATAGGCCTTCACCACAACTTCACTGATTTCAGGTAAATGTTGACATAACAGCATAAATCGCTGTTTGAATTAGTGGATGTTCAATTATTTGCTGTTCCAAATTACAGAAAGAAGAGTCAGAAGAATTTTAAATGAAGTCAGGCTACAAAATTTACAGGCAGTTTAATAAATGTT